AACGGGCGCATTCCTTAAAATTGTTTTATGTCTTCATCACAATACAAGAATTTTTGAGATTTGTATTTCCTTTCTCCAATGGAAACTGTCTTTATTTGTGGCGGTAAATTTGAGTTCGAAGTAGGTGGTTCGCTCGTTACCTCATACCACCATGCTGGTGGAAGTAAACAATGGATATCTCATTAGCTCCTTTTGTTCCTCTACCAGCATTTAAATTTGACCCGCACACGTCAACGGTGAGTGACAAATGAGCCTAGGTCTTCCCGGGGAAGACTTGTTTATATAGCGCGCCTTCGTGTTTAATATTGGACGAACAAGAGATGCGCAAACTGATTCACACTGCCAGAGTAGAGCCTGACTTATTAGCAACTGGTTACTGAATCTTTTAACTATCAGAGGGACCAGCATGTAACTTCTCCTCACAGAAATACCGCTGAATCATTCAGATCATGAGAATAAAGGAAAATGATCACCGACCTTAGAAGCTTTGATCGTTTAACAAATTCTCCCTTGTCAATACGAAGGAAATGGGCAGAGAAGAGTTTGGAGAATATAGATACTGATGTTAGGGTGCAAAGGGTTTTGAAAATCGGTAACGTGTATCCTCCTCGTTGAGATTTTACTGCGTCACAGTTTGTTAGTGTACTTCCTCATCCTCTGTAGATAAAGTCTCTTGCTCAAGAATACAATACAACGACACAGGTCTGGTAGTGTGTTCCATGCTTGGCTTTTAGACCACGGCGCCAGTATTCTACTACTAGATAACAAGTTCCGTGTGTGGGAAGTAAGCAACCAAATTTCTTTGAGAACAACATGAGTAACGTCTTGACGAATGAAAGTTATTTGCTGATTTTTTTCTGATTTCTTATGGGCTTTAACAGATAGACAGTACCTGGATCGTTTACAACAAACCGAAAACCAATCAACAATCAGAAGAACATGCTGGTTTCCTTATGGCTCTTGGACTAAATGGCCACCTTAACAATTTGTCTCACATGAATCTTCATGACTATTTGTGTAAGGTGAGAACTAATAAGGTAATCTACGTAATAACATCACCACCTCTTTCACATAAACCTACATGACGGCTTGCGTAAAGAAAGACCTGGGAAGGCACTATATGTAATGACACAAATAGCTGTCCTGCGATACATGCAGGTATTGCGATTGAGGTTCAGTCGAGGTTCGTATTAAATCCTCTGTTTTGTCAAGGTCGAGAATGGAACACAGATTAGTAAATAGCATCTAAGAGAGGAAATCAAAATAAATTTTTAGAGAAATTCGTATCGGCTAAATATTGCAAAACTAGTTGTGATTCGATGTCTGGTTCATTCAAGTCCACTTAAAAAAAACAAAATGAACCTACTACTGGTAGAGAAATAGCACCGTTTAAATATTTCCAAGTAGAATAGCCCATTTCTGAATTACTTTTAGCTTCTTTTTCAAAGGGGGTCTTGGAGCTCATTCTTTCTTATGATAATACGTTTTCATTCACATGCAAATTGAACTCATGTTCACAAGAAGAGGTGAGGACCAGGCCTCGCTTTGAAAAAGGACCAAGGGTAATTCGGAAATGGTCTATCATAAAGATAACATGATGCAGACCAACGAGATGTCATCATCAAGTAGACGTCGTCACCAGATTATGTGAGAGGTCGTCTGTTAGTCTGACATGCTAGTTATTTACTACCTTAGTTGGCCACCAAATATTTCCAAGACTACGGTGACGCTATACGGCTTGATTCAAACCATTTACTGTAATGAAGGAATCTTTTTGGCGATTTGCTAATTCAATGCGTACTTTCTTTTCTCCACTAGGGGCACGAACTTACGACCGTTGCGCTCGTGCTCGGTACGGCAGCTGCTAAGTAAGTAGTCCATCCTAGAGCTAACTATTACGAAACCTGTGCGTTGTTTAATTAATGCTATATTTGACCCGCAGGCGAGGGACAATGAACGTGACCATCACTAAAATGCTGAGTATTCATATCGACGCCCTTCTGCCTCCAACATCAGCGGAACTTGATCTGCCTCATTCCGCACAGGTAGCCGCCATATTGGGAGTGGGTCTGGTATACCAAGGCACTGCACAGAGGCGAATGGCAGAAGTGCTTCTATCGGAGATAGGTGATGAACTGATGTGTTTTACTAATTTTATCATTTACTTTACTTATTGCACAATTTGTTGATCGTGTATTCTGATCCTTGGGTGCATGAGAGTGATCTCGACACGGATCGTTGTCGATGACGATGCAAAGTTGTGCTTAAGGAGAATCGCGAGGGGCCTGGGGAGTCTTGTCTTAGAAATCCGTGGAAGAACTCAATTTAGTCCTTTTACGCCTGAGAGTTGCTAGCATCTATTTTTTTCATACACTATCACCCCCGTTCGGCCCTCTCACTCAGTCATTAAGTACACATTATTTTCTACTTTTCTTTGCTATTTAACTGTTGCTTGTAATAAGAAAAAAAAAAAAAAAAACCTCTCTTTAAAGGGAGACCACCTGGCCCTGAAATGGAAAATGCTGTGAACAGAGAATCTTATTCTCTTGCTGCTGGTCTGGCTTTGGGACTCGTCATGTTGGAGGTATTTCATTTTCTTTCTGCACAATTACGTTGCGTGACATGGGGAAGTTGTCCAAAATGTTTCTCTGGTTATTAAGTCTACCGCACGCCCAACCCATTCCTTATTCAGGATAAGTTGCTTTTATCGACTGAATTGGTAGCTTTAAAACTCTTTACGGTGGCTAATTCACATGATGATCCATTAAATGTTTTTTCTCGGGCGCGATAGGCCTAAACGCATCACGTGACCGAATATTCCCCAGCTAAAAGTGGGGGATATCGGAAGGTATCGTCCAAGTGATATTCCTCAATCTTCAAACCTTACCTCCACTACGTCAAGTCCTCTTTTAAAATTTAAATTTAATTCAAGATGAAAGAGCGTTTTGAGGTTCTTTCAGAAGAAGTGTTATATTAATTTGTTCATAAAGTCGTACCAGAGAACACTCAAAAGAAAACAGTAAGGTGTTCGTAAACATTTTTTCACGCGCGTTGCAAAATAATTGAAGGATAATAAACACAATAGCCTCTATTTTGCGCTAAATATGCTCGTATGTTTATCGTTCGACATTATCTGTTCCTCGAGGCTAAGATTTTCTCGAGCTTCGCTCTCGGAAAACTGTTCGCATCTTGTAACAGATAATGTCCGTGGACAAATATCCCTGCACCTTTACGAGCCAAATAGAGAACATTGTCTATTTATCAACTCAGCCTGATGCAACCAAATCCGAAGGTCTTGAGGTTCGTTGCCTCATGGGGACTCATAGTGCTTTCTTTGTCCCACGCTCACGATGCGACCGAAACACATATTTCTATTTGTTTGTATGTGTCTCCAGCACGGGAACGAAGCAGCCAGTGTGGTGGACCTCAAGATCGCTGATCAGTTGTATCACTACATGGTCGGTGGACAAACCAAACCGCAGGTCAGCTTGGTAAAATGATACTTTTTGTTGTAAATACGTGTTTTGAACTGATTTTTTATCGAAGTGTAAAAGGTTACTCAAAGATGCTTGAGCTAGACGCTTTAGCAAACTTTTGTTTTTTAAACATACTAATTGATGAAATGTTATAAGAACAACCTCCTCTTAAGTTTCAAGATTTCAGTGGTGTAACTGTCCAATTTTACTTTATCTTACAAATTTATATCTCTTGTTGTAGTTATCATTGGGTTTGTTAGTTGTTTTTTGGTTTTTTTACATATCTACGCTGTGCAGATATTCACTTTAACTACTTTTCTCTCTGAAGACTGGAACGCAAAAAGAGAAGTTCAAGTCGCCAAGCTATCAAATCAAGGTGATTTCACATAGTTCAAAGTTTACTTTTAGCAAGGATACCATGGATAAGAGAAAAAGAATGGCAAATATTTTTAGGTATAGCAGGGGGATTTATTTCCAGATTCAGTTCAGTTAAGGTAATAATAATTATTAAAAACGGGATCATTGGATAATGCAATTCAAGACTTTTTATTGGCTTAGCCATTATGGTATATGAGCCAATATACCATAATCTACAAATATGGTAAGCGTACGCGTCAGCTTAAAATCAAAAGGGAGCTAAAAAATCCAGTTTCTTCTTACAAAATAATAATTTCTTGGGGGCGTTTTTAATAAAACAATTATTCCACTCGCGCTTGTTGGATATGAGATGATTATAGCCAACTCGGCGCTATGCGCCTCGTTGGCTATCTATCATCTCATATCCAACGCGCGCTCGTGGAATAATTGTTAAATAGACTATTACAATTAAAGTACAAGGGAACAAGACAATAGGACACGAAGTCCCCTGCAAGGTTAAGTCCCCAACTATTCCCAATACTAAGGTCACGTTACAAAATAGATAGTTAAGAATAAATGAATATGTATCGTATAGTGGTAAGCTAAAAAAAAAAGACAGGAAAACTGAGATCAACATGGGCACAGAGTTAAGACATTCGTCGTTCGACATTTAAGAAAAATCGTTTGACAAGATCTTATATTATCCTGATCAAAAACGATCCTTAGGCGATCAAAAAATAAGGCCTTAAGCTGACTTCTTCAATGTATCGCAAACACTTAGGAGCTCCTTCTCTGAGAAGCTCTCGTCTAAAGCTTTAATTTTCTAACTTTTTGTAATATTTTTCTTCGTTTCGATTGACCGTTGTGATTTGTTTGGTTTTGGTTTCAGGATACTCGTACGAAAAACATTTTGTTGTCTTTGAAGTGAGTTTTGTTTCTTTTTGTCATGTAGGAAGGTGATAGTGTGAATATCAATGTGACGGGACCTGGTGCTACACTTGCTCTTGGACTGATGTTCATGAAGACGAACAACACGTAAGTTACCATCTATTCAACAATTAGTCCACGAGCCCGCGTTGGATATGAGATGATAGATAGCCAACGAGGCCCGTAAAGCTGTTCTGTTTTCATTCAAAATGGGGATTTCATAAGTTTTGAAAATGATAAAATAAAACTATCAGCTAAAGCAACAAAAAGGTGCCAGAACCTGCTTCCCCATCCTTTAAATTTTGTTTTTAAAACATGGCTTCGGGCCCGTTTAGTTACCGGGACTTTCGAGAAACGGGCCCCAGGTCTCGAACCCGGGCCTCTCGACGCGGAGTCTAGTGCACTGACCATCAGGCCACTGCGCCTCCCACAAATTCCATAAAATGCTATTTTTCAGAGCAGATGACCGTATATTTCCTTTTAGATTAGTGCTAAGAATTTGATGTTAAATCTGGGAAAAGGGTTCGAAAATTTCCACCACCTGGTCGCGAATTTGGCTTAGAACTGTGTGTTGGCGGCTAGAATTTCAAATTCTGTCGTCAGCTGTCGATTAACTTGTTTTGTCAATTTTGTAACCTCAAGATGCACATATATCTTACCGAGATTCCGTACCTCGGTTAACAAGAGACACTTCTTTCTGTAGATCTGTTGCGGCATGGTTTGATGCTCCCGACACTCAGTTCCTGTTGGATTTTATTCGTCCAGATTTCCTCTTGCTTCGGGTAAGATCTAAAACAGGAGCTCACAGCGCACGAAGCGCGCGCAGCGAATGCCTATATTTATCTAAAATGGTAGGAACTATCAATCCAATAAACTTTGTCAGTATTCGACCGTGCGACCTTAAACCTTGAATCCCTCGTGATCACTAGGATCACTGAAAAAAATGGCGAGCGGTCAGTGTCGCTGTGATCGTTAGTATTTCTAAGGAGAATGTTTCCAAATGATTAACCGTTGAGCTTTATCTTCCAACGATTGTAATGACGATGAGAAACCAGGTTCAGATTTACTAAGAATTGTTATAAGTTAAACTGACGCGATGAAGGTAAGAGACTGACACTTCGTATAGACCTTATTACAACGGTAGTCTGTACAGTTATTTTCAGACTCAAGCTATATTGTCTCCCGGCAGGAGTCAGTGTGTGTCAGTTGTTCCTGGAATGTTTTGGTGAAAAACAAATAGGACTTCTTTGCAAAGTGCGCGACAGAAGATTAGTTTCGTTATTCATCGAAAACAGAAGTGATTAAAAAAAATAGCTTTGAAATAATCCACCACATAGGAAATTAAATCCCCATGGTTAATGCCCTCTCAGTTACTGATAGAAAAGAGTTTTATCTCCTTTTTTTTTTTTTTTTAACATTCACACTTACAAAAGTTTTGAAATCATGCCAGTAGTCTACGTGGTTTATTTCTTGTGGTAACTATGTTATTAATTCTACAGCTTCTTAGTCGAGGTCTGATCATGTGGGATAGCATACATCCCTCCACAGATTGGGTAGAAAGCCACATTCCTGCGGTGAGTTTGGAATCACTTAAGCAGAGCTCACCTTATAGAGGTGTAAACATCATTCTAGCATGTGTAAAGTGCATATTCTCATGTTACTTTGTGTTCTAGCATTTATGAGCTGATGCAAAAACAAGAGTAGAAGCGAAAGGAAGTAATTGAATATAAAAGGTTGATCGATACAAAAGGAACAAGAGTGGCAATCATTTCGCAAACTTTCAAAATTTTTAACGCAGCGAAGAACATTGTTTTCTAACAATCAGTGTACGTATTCTTCCCATAAGGTATACAGATCAAGTTTGACACGTGAAGGAGTTGAACTCCTCAATCAGGTGCCGAGCTAGTTATTTGGGTGGACCCAGATGGGTAGTTCGTTCGCACATGTAGTGTTCGCAGTTTGAACCAGGCCTCAGCTCACATACTTTGCTATTTCACCTTGTCACGTATTTTCACTCATTTTTTTTGCTAGATTGTTCGACAGTGTGATACCACTTCGGCTGAAAGTGAAGCAACGAACTCAGACATAGACATGGAAAGTCTTAGGTATTTATCACATCCTAATTACTTAGCAGTGAGAAATTCCTTTTGTTTTCTTTTTTCGTTTAGACGGAAAAGTACGAGACTTGAGTTACAAAAGTTCATGACTTAAGTGAATTAAAATGTACTCAATGAAATGATTATCCCGTATTAAATTCAGATTTTTTAGTGCTGTTGTCTAGATTTTTAGAGCAATTTTCAACTGAGTATCGTAATTAATCCGAGATTGCATTGGTTTTCCTTTACTTCGCTCTGTGATTGGCCCAGAAAATTCGTGCCACTCTCTCAACCAATCAAATGCAAAACTAAAACTAATCACGACTAGGTCGTCCGAGTTTTCCCGCGTCTTAAGCAGGTTTGTTGTTTTTACTTTGAATTTTCATTGGCTGTTCAGATTCTTTTCCTTTCTTCTGATTGGCCGTTAGGGCAACTTTGGTTTTGTTTTGCGATACTCAATCGATAATCGCTGTTTGGAAATGAAACGTCAATCACTGTCACCGATAGTGCTTTTCAGGAAGATCATGCTACATGATAGATTGATGTACACTGTTTCTACTGATCCAAACCAATTACTGTGACGTATTAAGCTGCACATTTCGTAAAAATAACATTGCTTTCGTTTTCTCGTTTCATTTAGTCAGGCGAAAATCAATATCGTTGCTGGTTGCTGCATGGCCATGGGGTTAAGATTTGCTGGCTCCGCCAATCAAGAGGCCTTCAATTGTTTGGTATGTGTAGGAAAGTAATTTTCCCTTGGCCATTTGCACAAAAGAAGTCATTTGACTATACCTACCAGGCCTTCAAGTTTTGTTCTCTTGTCCAAATTGGGGTTATGGTTATCTAATTAGAGAAAAAGGATCATGATCACGATGATTAGTCCCCTTGATCACGATGATTAGTTCTCTAGTGCAAATTGGGGTTATGGTTATTTAATTAGAGAAAAAGGATCATGATCACGATGATTAGTCCCCTTGATCACGATAATTAGTTCTCTTGTGCAAATTGGGGTTATGGTTATTTAATTAGAGAAAAAGGATCATGATCACGATGATTAGTCCCCCTTTAAACTGATTTTTCGTTTCGTTAAAATGTCGTTAAAGAATCTTTGTAAACCAAGCTTCAAACTCAATTTTCCATTTGAAGAGCGCTTCTCAAGTAAACGTTAAGATATTAAAGGCTAGCGACTCGTAGGTGAGTCAGTAGTATTGGAGGTTAGGGTCCGTAAATGTTGCGACAGGAGGACCGCAAGAAATCTCCTTAACAGCAAGGATATCATCATGGAAGCTACATAATAGCTTTCGACTTGTGGTTATACATTCAGTTTATCTCACCAAACCATTCTGTCGCCCTTTCACGCCAAAGCGTTGTACAGGTTCAAGTTTAAACTGACATCAATCTGTGATTTAGTGTCAAATGATGGAACTTATCTCTGTGAAGCTCATTTACTTTTTATTTTTAATTTGTGTGTCATCGTTTATTTTTCAGATGCATTACACTAAATACTGTAAAGATCTGTTGAGCAGCAATGCAGTTGAACAGGTGATTATCCTTCCCAGTTTTAAGATCAGTATAATTAAAATATTGATTCATTTAAAACGATAAAAAAAAACACACACACTCCTTGTGGCCTGACGTGGCCTTTTTCATACTTCTAGTTAAAATTTTTGCTTTAAATGTGAACCAAACAATTTAAAGCAAATTTTCTACAACATTGATAGTAGGATTGTAAAAAATTTGAGAAACATCAGAGTTCATTTTAGCCCTTTAGCGATGACGCAAACTTTATCCGTAAACTCTCTATTGTACTATCCACACCGACAAAGAACTTACCATCGAAAAACGGAACGAAGCCTTCCATCAGTACCATCCAGAAAACTTTGCTGGCCGCGTGTCTCCCTCCAATTGAGTTGGAGCACCTAGTTACCAGTCGCTTTGTACCCAGTCGATTCGTACTCGGTTAGGACCATTCGTTCCTTGTTATTTGAGTCGTTTTCGTGCGCATACTTTTGAAGTATGTTTTCTATGTTAGGTATGGTTAAACGTTTGATAAGGTTTGTTTATGTGGTGTTGGAATCCCTTTACGATATCCATTTCGTCACTGAACCAGATCGTCACTGAATGTTGGGACGGGTACGAATCGACCAGCGGGTCAGGTTCGAACTGACAAACTGGGTACGAATCGTCCGAATTTGGGTACGAATCGACTGAGTGCGAAACGTCCGCGGGCACGAAACGACTGGATGCCGAGTACACGTTGCCGTTTTCGGGAGGTCGTAAGGAAACTCACTGCAGCTCTACTGAACCAAACGTCTTCTAATATTTGTTGATATTACGTATTGTGTTATCCGCACCTTTAGGCAGGGAAGCCCACAGTTGAGATGTGTCTCAATACTATCCTTTTGTCGCTGGCTATGGTAAGTTTGTAAAAGTTGCATGAAACACAGCCCCGTGATCGTTTCGATTGACTTCGGAAAAATAAATCCAGGCTTCGGTCAGGGTTCGGGTTCGAATCCCGACTTTCGATACCTGAGTTCAGCGCGACAACATTTACCCACTGCGTGTCCCAAATTCATTGAGAATTCTGGAATAAAGACACTCAAACACGTTTCTAAAGAAACTGTGGTGCTGCAGCGTCGGTGGGGGGGGGGGATGTGAATCGACCACCGAAGAGAGAATCTTGAGCTGACGTTTCCGAGCGTTAGTCCTTCGTCAAATAGCATTTCCTTATTCTGGTTAAAAGTTTTCTCTCGGTTCGCAGGTGATGGCGGGAACTGGTAATCTCGATGTTCTTAGGATCGCACGGCAGCTTCGTAAAAGGCATTCCCCGGATGTTCCATATGGGAGTCACATGGCTGTTCACATGACAATCGGTCTCTTGTTCCTGGGCGCAGGAAGGTACCAACTTAATTAACTGCTTATTCTTTAGTTAACCTTGAAAACTTTACCGTTACGTAACAACAGAACTAAAAAAGTTGTCAGTTTGGTGTTGAAAGAAAGTCGGCTTTGCACGTTTTACTTCGCTACGCCTTCTGATTGGTTTAGAAAATTAAGTCAAAAAGCGCTGTAAGGTTCATTCATTATTTTTTTACACAGGTTCACTCTGAGTACCAGTGGACCTTCCATTGCTGCGTTGATATGCGCCTTCTATCCCAGATTTCCAATCTCCAGCACCGACAACAGGTGAGGTAAAAAAATTACGAGTAGGTACTGGTAAGTGCATAAAAGACTAGATTTATGCTGAGGAGCCTAGTAACCTACTTCGCTGTAGTTTATTACGCTTTTTGTAGCATAAAGCGACAAACTCCTTCTGGTTGAGATGGACTCATTTCTTCAGCCAATTGTATTCCTGAGAGAGGCATTGTGAAAGTAAAGTGTCTTGCTTGAGAACATACCACAATGATGGCCAGGACTCGACTTCGCACTTCTTGACCCTAACTAAGTTAAATGAATAAGGGGGGAAAGTTCCTAAAGAAACTTCGGTGTTTCGTCAGTGGGGTTTGTTTTATCAACTGTGTTGATAATGTACATTGGCCACCGTTTCGAGCATTAGCCCTTCGTCAGAGAGAAGGGCTAGCGCTCGAAATGACTAACGCTCGAAACTTCAGCTTTGAAACTCTTTACGACGGCCAATTTACGTTACCAACTCAGTTGATCAAACCAAAATTATCTACCTAAATTAACAGTTGTGTAAAAATATCTTAAGTGGTCCTTCTCCTTTGAACAACTGAAGATTAAAACCAATAGGGGTGTGATATCATATCCTAGCTGAGCTAGGACCTCTGTATGGTGGATTTGAACATGCCACCGTAGGATTGTGTAGACCATCATTTTCAAGCTTAAGCGGCAAAAGAGTTTTGGGTTTGTAAAATTGTGTTGTCCAAGGACACAACACATTTAACAGGCTAGTTCGAACCCAGACCTCGATTAGGGCTCTAGCCACGAAAGTATCACAGCAAGGAGTTAAGTTACAGTTAGTTATTTGTCCTGTCTATCTACTTTCCGGTCAAATTATCATTTAAGCTTTGTTCTTAGCAAAGAGCACATAGGATAACCAAGTTCAATTGATCGAAAACCGTCCTTTTTTTCTGCAGGTACCACCTGCAGGCATTCCGACATTTGTACGTGCTGGCGGCCGAGCCTCGAGTTCTTGTCCCCCGCGAGGTGGACACCAAAAAGGCCTGTCATGTTCCTCTTGAAGTCACGCTCAAGGTGAAGGCCTAACGTAATAAGCCACCTTTCATCTATTGAAATGCAGCCAAAATGGCGAGGCTTAGAGGACCGAATCGAATAGAACGAAAAGACAGGCTTGTCGTGTTCCTTTGTGTCCCGTCAGCCTCGATATCAAGATGATTTTCGTATAGTTATGAACTAGTCATTCTATATCGACTGGGGAAGGGGAGTGGGGCGAGTCGCAGGTTTTTCGGGGGGGGCACATGGGTTTTGTATTAAATGTGTTCTAAATCTGTTTGTGTCACATTGTGTCACAGGATAACATTGCGTCGAATTGTAACAACACTTTTCCATCCACTGTTTTCGTTATGTTGTCATTTTCATTTCTTCTTTAGTTTTATTCTGGAATGGCCCGCCTATGGAGCTTCGTCAAGTAACAGCACTTACTAGTTTTAAATCTTGACTTAAAACCTATCTTTTTAAGAAGTATTTTTATAGTCTGTAACCTAGTTCATTTTATTCTCACAGTATTGTATTTTCGCTTTCTCTTAAACATATGATTGTAAAGCGCTATTGATCAGCATATGTAAATACGCGCTATATAAATTGGTAAATTATTATTATTATTATTCATAGCATAACTCTCACAGATCCTAAACTCACCACTTTGCCTTTTATTCAGGAAACGCAGTTTTACCCAGAAACAGTGTTAAAACTCACCGCACCTTGCATTCTACCAGAACTGCAGCTTATCAGAAAGGTAGGTCGGCAAACACGCATTTGAACACAGAACTTGTTTGCTGAGGCTTCTAGTTTTTACGAGTCGCACAGCGGCTGCAGAAGGCGTTGATATTCTCTTTTAAATTTTCAATGTCAAAGCTAAGTGAACTTAAGCTTTCTCGGGAAAAGTCTGTGATTTTTTAGGAAAAACCCATCAAGATATCTTTGATTTCGAAACTGCGCTTTGTTGAGATCTTCGGCTGGGAATAGCTTTGCAAAGGAAAAAAAATACTTTAATTTCCTATTTAACAGACGTTATTTTTAAAGATTGTATTCCTCCGTAAGATTCACAACATTTCCATGTTCATTTGATTTCTTCTTTTTTTATTTTAGATCTGTGTCTCGGGGTTACGTTATTGGCCAATCACGATCGACTTGACAGGAAGCAAGGACACTGTGTGGTAAGACTTTTTCACAGTTAAACTGTGAAAAGCTCTCTAATAATTCATAAGGGGGCTTGAAGGATTTTGGTTCTGTTACGATAAAATTTACCTGATATCCCTCTAATATGTCTAATATGTCTCTGATTCCCTTCTCGTTAGCCAGAGTCAATCTTCTAAATAATTTGGATATATCAACAAAGTTGAAATGGTAAATTGGCCACCGTAACGATTACAAAAGCTGACGTTTCGAGCGTTAGCTCTTCGTTAGCCCTTCGTTATTCGCTCCGACGAAGGGCTAACGCTCGAAACGTCAGCTTTTGTAATCGTTACGGTGGCCAATTTACTATTTCAACTTTGTTGATATATCCAAATTATTTCGTTACCCCCACCGACGCAGCCCCAAACAGTTTCTTTAGAAACTATCAGCCTTTATTCATTTGTTTTTTCTCCAAATATGCTACCAAAACAAAGCAAGTGATCAGAAGTAAAATTCTAAGCCAACAATGGAGNTGTTTTTCTCGTTGCCATGTTCCCACCAATAACGTAGCTCCATTTTCTGCCTTTAAAAGCACACACAACCCACAATTCCTCTATTCGCTCCGACGAAGAGCTAACGCTCGAAACGTCAGCTTTTGTAATCGTTACGGTGGCCAATTTACTATTTCAACTTTGTTGATATATCCAAATTATTTCGTTACCCCCACCGACGCAGCCCCAAACAGTTTCTTTAGAAACTATCAGCCTTCATCAATCTTCTAAAGTCCCCCTCCCTTTATACTCTGTTGACGACGACTGATCCCCCCCTGTTCTCCCTGAAAAGCATGTGATCCCTTCTAAAAAAAACTTCGACCCCCACCAGCGAAAATATAATGACTTGTCCCTTAGTCAACTGAAATGAGGTTTCTATAGTGTTGGGGTCCATGTTTGTTGTTTGTTCTCATCCTTGCTTCAATAGTTTCCCTAAGTCTCTGGTTTTCCTTCCCACTCCATCCTCTCCAAAAATCTAATTTCCAATTCGGCCCATAAGTGGACGAAGACCAATCCGTGGATGTTTAAATTCTCTTTTTCATCAATGCTGTTTCCTGTTTTATTTTGAATTTTCTTTTTTTAGTCTATTAACCGCCAGTCAAGGAACGTTGTTTGTGAAAAGAAGAACGGGTTTCTTGTCTTATGCCGACGATCCACAGGTAAGCTACACTTATCCTAAAAGCTGTCGGCCTTTACCTTCAGCACAATTGTTTACAAAGACATCAAGAGCTGCACAAATTTAACTCCGAAATGACGTATTTAACCAACAGTCAGATTAGCTTGCTGAATGCAGGAAAAGATGTCGTCAGGCGTGTGACATGTCAAGTTTGATGTGTGTCTTTGGCACGTGATTGGTCAAGACTTCTTACTCGTGCTTTTTTGTTAGTGCTATTTGATAACCCCCACCCCGAAAGGGAGGTTGAAAATGAAAACCTTTCAAACAGTACCTTGAACATTTTTCGATTGGGTGCCAGAAGACCAGAACTAAGGTTATCACAACGTCCAGTCATAGCAAAGGATTAACATCACGAGAAACAAATGGGAACTCGAAGCACAAAAAAGCAAACCGAGAGAGAGTGGCACGAATTTTCTAAACCTCTTACGTAGGGAAACAAACCAGACGATGAAAGTAATCGTGAATATTTTACACACTTAATTGAAAAGTATCCCAAAGAGGCTCCTGTATTTTGTTATCTTGCAATGTTTCATCCAGCTGCAGACATTTCAATGGCCTCAGTCATACAAACGTTTATTAACTCTGATATAAACGATTTCATTTCTGACATGATATGAGCTGGTATGAGTCTTGGAGACCTCAAATCCATTTTCATCGTTTCTAAGTTTTTCTTCGGGATGGATTTAAAATTTGTTGAATGATTTATTATACAGTTGCCTTGCCTATAATTATTTGGAGAGAACTCACGCTAAACGTCAAATGTGTCTGGGAAATAAACTTTGCTTAAACATTGCTGTTCTCTTGCCAGGGTTATCGAAACATTCTTGCCAAGACATTTTCTGCCCAAACAGACCAGGTAAGAAACCACTGCTTTCAAACAAAAATATTGTTGGTCCGTTTAGCTGTGTAGCTCCCATTCTCCCATGAAAACTGTTTGCATTTGGTCTCCATCCAGTGAAAATTTTGAAGAGTATAATTAAAAAATTATGCATTTTAGAAGGCACTTCATGAGGAACTTTAGAATCTTTCACAATAAGTCGCCTGCTGTATTGCTTTTGGGGTTAGTATCTATAGTAAGGTGTGTTTTAATATATTAATGGAACGGTCATGTGTAAATCCTTATTTTACGGCATCTTATTTGATGTTGGTGTCTACGATACCCTATGTCTTGAGTTCTCAGATTTGCAAAACAAGAAATAATGTTTTGATTTTTCTAAATATATAACAGATAGAAGTGGTTCGAAGCTTTTCATCGGATCCGAATCTCATAGCACTGGCGGAGTTGTTTGGTGACAAAGATCTCTCAAACAAAAAGGTGAGCGAGGCACACTTTATCATCGACAGAACCATCAACAACGCCACGTTTTAAGGGGGTTGAAAACTCCTTCCCCTCCCCTCCCCCCACCCAGTCTTTCGTTTGGTTGCCCTTAAAGTTCGATTCGCTGGTACCCGTTTGTACCCCTGGGTTAAGTAGCAGTGTGAGAGCAAATAATTTTACTTCCTTTCTCCTTCTCCCGCTCCCCTCCCCTCCCCACACCCAGTCTTTCGTTTGGTTGCCTTTAAATTTCGATTCGCTGGTACCCGTTTGTACCCTTGGTTTTAGTAGCAAAGTGAGAGCTGAGTATTTTGCCGAAGAAGGGAACTCAATGACCGACCACGGCTTTACCCAGGGGTTTTGGTAAATACCACCCCCTCTAAGACCTCCCACCGCCGTCTGTGTAGCATTGGAGCAGGCTCTCAGCTCTCGTGTTTGGGTTTCGCTTCACTGCGCAGCCGCGTGTTACACCATCGGCAGCCACTTATGACAACAGTTTTTGACACCCCTCTTTGCCCCAGACCCCGGTTGTTCGAAGGTTGGATAGCGCTATCCACTTGGTAAATTTTTATCCAGTAGATAGCGCAGCACATTTTGCTCTCACTTGTTCGCTGGATATCGATGTATCCGTTGGATAGCGTTATCAGTCCTTTATACAACTGGGTGCAGATCTGCTTACTTGATGTTCAACACGTTTTCCGTGGGGCCATCATTTCTCCTTATTAAGTTGTATACATTCACTGAATCTAGAACTGTAAGTAACTGAGCCAAATTTCGCCGACCATTTGTCAGTTTTCAAGGTTTTTCGTTTCTTTAACTTCGCCTTCTTTTTATGCCTTTTGTTTGTGTATGTACTGATGCTTATCGCATGTATTTATTCTCTATAGGAGAGAAGGTTATGTTCGTTCATTGCATCGACATTGGTGGAAACTGTTACAGAGGAAAAACCCGAAGTTTTGCAGACATTACTGCGCATGTGGCAGGTACTGTAGACGGCTGTACACCTCTGTTTTGCGCCTGTTTTTCTTTTAGATTTTTCTTTTCTTTGCCTAAATGTCGCTCAAGTTGAAAGATGTATTTGAAAACACCCCAAAATTATCGCAGGCTCTAAAAAAAACAAGAATCTGAGGGGAAAAAAAAACAAAACCTTGAAGCTCTTGAATAGACGATGGTGGCGGAGGGCCTGCTTTACGGCGGTTTCTGAGGAATTCAAAAACTTGGCTAAAACGCCGTTTGTAATGGTAATGACTGATTGTTGGGTTTCCATTGTAGATTGTACATAACTTGGAGTATGAGCCCGACCCAGGCTCTGTCTGGCAGATGAAGCTGGCTGTAACATTCTACAAGAGCGTGTTCCCGAGAATTTCTAAGCGCATGCGCAGAAAGGTATGCTTCATGGAATAAAGGAGTTAACTCTCACCAAGGTAGTCGTCTGGACCTGTCTTATTTTTATCGCACATTTTGCACTTTAAATTGTGACAGACTGGCGAAAGTTGTTACTGTTTTGTGATGTAAATAGAATTTACATGAACCACGTGTAAGTTAAATCAGAGTCAACAACCTTTTGCTCAACAAGGGTAATGTGTTTCCAAAAACTGTTTTTTTTTCTCCATTTTTAGCCCTTAATTAGAGGGGACTTCATCGAAGAATACAAGTTCCTCATTGAAGAATCCATCGACCGCCTTATGATAAAAAGTAAGTTATATCTCCATTTCACCCAGTTTGTGGTGCGAACAAAGAAAGATTTTTCTCGAAGTGACTGTTGGACAAGGTCAAATTAGACCCAAACTTAAAACCATCTTCATCTAGTGGTTACTTACTCGCTCAAAAATACTACTAACATCGATTTCGAGAGAGAACCATCGATTCATTTTCACTTGAAAGATTATTCTAAGTTTTATTTGAGCAATTCTGCTTTACGCGACCGTCCAATACAAGTGGAAGACAATGCAAACAAGCCGTTGGGACTAACTCAAAGGTGAGTCAGTCCCAACGGCTTAATAGAGGTGAAAATTACCGTAATTAAGGGGATCTCGATCGCTACATACAGAGTGACCGCTTAATATTGTGCCGCTTAATACAGATTCGACGGTATTTACCATCACTCTGTTGGCAGTTTTTGGTTAAACGACACTGCAATGAAAAGCGCTCTATTTTAATCACTTTGCAAGGAAAAAGTGGAAATAGGAAACCTAAGAAATTATACAGTAAACTGAAACACTAATGTTTTTGATTGTGTAGATTCAATATTAGCAAAAGACTGTTACAGTGCTGAGGAACACAAGCGTAAATTCTGTCCAGCAGTTTGTTGTTTTGCCGTGTATCACGACGTCCCGTTGCCGTGCAGTTTACCGTCTTCACTACGGCAAGGTAATAAATGTAATTCATTTTTCAAAGATCATATTCCTTATTTGTTTATTCATGAACTTTTTTTTCCTTCGATTAGTTTTATCACCTAGCTTGAGTCCGATAAAATACTTATATCTTATTAACCTAGCGCGAGGGCCGTACTGGGAGAATATCGACCCGAGGTCTTAACAGTACGGACAGAGCGCAGCGAGGTCCGTACAAAAAAGACCGAGGGCCGATATTCTTCCAGTGCGGTCCCGAGCAAGCTTGGTTAATAAGAGATTTATTATACGACTGAAGTTCAAAGGGACACAACTGCGGTATCATTCGGGACCATTCGGGACAGTGCCCGGTCCAATACTGAGAGAATATTGACCGGCAATAGAGCATTTTGATTGGTTGATTTTAGTTATTGGCCCTCTGACTGCCCGAGTCGTGTAATAAAATTCAATACAATGTTCTTTATTTCAAGAGGGTAAATACACGATTAACCCAGTAAAGAGTTTTCTAGCACATGGCCCTCTGTAATACAGAACAAAAATATATACAATAAAATTCGAAAAATACATACATACAATAATTAATTGAATTTAACATTTAAAATGAAGTTTAAAAATAATACAATAAAAAAATGTCTAATTAGCATAGGATAAACAATATATCGCAACAAACTCGGACGATCAGGAGAAATAGCAATTGCAGTCCGAGTTTGGTTTAGATATGTGTAACCCCTGAAGCAACTATGTTGTTTAAAAGTGTTTAGTTTCAAAATTTATCCTTTGGTGAAGACAGTAACGCAGTTATGGAACAATATTGACTGTTATCAGCTCGCTTTAAGCGCTCAAAAGGTAGTGGAAGCGCCATTGTAAACCAACGCACAGTGAAAAAGGAAAAAAGTTATGCGTTTTTCTCAGTAACTGGATAGTAAGTAGCTGCTCTCTGTGCGCGTAAAGATTTCGCGGCATGACGCATTTTCCGTACTACCTACCATCTTTCTGAAATTATGCTAGATTTCCTCCCGCTTCAGTGGTTTTGATGGGCTAAAATACCGCTTGAGCTCATTCCGCTTAGGTTCATTTGAAGCAACTGGAGTGCTTCCACATCAAGCCGCTGGACAGAAGTGATGCCAAAGCTTACTCCATCTTGGTATAGCCCCTAGCTTTCATATAGTAATCACCCTGTTACTTTTTGAATTCCTTCCCTCTATCATTGGAAAGGTCACTTCTAGCCTCGCTGCCAATTAAAGGCTTGGTTGCACTTCACGTAACTGAACTAGGATATTGTTTGTTCTACTTCCACAGCCGATGTTCCTAGTCTACCCGTGATGCTACAGGGTACAGAAGACCTTCCACTGACATTGACTGCAATGCTGAGACTGCAGGCTCAAAGCTAGTTCCTTTCTTTGCTAATACTAAGACCCTATTCGACTGCGTGGAGGAGGGGGAGGGGTGGTATGAACGACAGAGAAAATGCTTCGTAAGAAGAGAAGTAACGGCAGACTACAAAAAGAATTGGAGAATTCCATTCTTTAGACCCTTTTAACTCCCAGAAGACATTAACATTTAACTTATCCCTATATCCATACATTATCCCATAAACAGGTGACGAGAATACACCAGAATACTCAAATTTATCAGGTGGAAGTTTCTCCCTCGATCTAACACCAAAGTTTTCTGTTTAATTTTGCAAGAAAATTTGTAGCAGCTAGAGGGGAGAATTAAAAATCATTTTTTGGAAGTTAAAGGGTAAATAACTCTTCGATGGCAGAGTGAATACCCAGAGTTGTTTCAACTTATATTACATAGCGATCGACAAATAGCTCGTTTTAAGCTTTAAGCTGCTTCAGATCGAAGGCGCGCCATAAAAGGAGCCTTAGGTCCCACTAGACCATTATTTTGTCAATCAACCGTCGTGTGATGTAGAACTCTTAGAGTCAAGTCAGCGTGAGGTACTGCTACTCCAAAGCAGTGAACAGCGGGCGCATTCCTCAAAATTGCTTTATGTCTTCATCACAATACAAGAATTTTTGAGATTTGTATTTCCTTTCTCCAATGGAAACTGTCTTTATTTGTGGCGGTAAATTTGAGATTGAAGTAGTTTGTTCGCACGTTACCACATTGCCACCATGCTGGTGGAAGTAAACNTTTAAATTTGACCCGCACACGTCAACGCCAACGGTGAGTGACAAATGAGCCTAGGTTTTTCCAGGGAAGACTTCCTTATATAGCGCGCCTTCGTGTTTAAGAAAAGGATAGGACCGGGGCCTGGGACGAGTGTATTCCTGTGCTCTATTTGCTAATCTGAGAGGAAAGTAAGAACGAGTGAGGGAAAGTAAGAGTCAGCGCCGCCTTTATTTCTGTTTTCATTCCTTCTTTCTCGTTCATTTTTCGTGTTCTCTTTCACCTGTTCCAAACAATATGCGAAAATGATATCTACAAAATAAAATTTTCATTGAAAAAGTACATGGTGTACAATTATTTTTTGTAGAAGTACTTGCTCAGAAAATCAAGACCGAATAAAGTATTTATGCAGAATTGAGCAGCGGTATTCGCCCTTTAAATCAACTGTTTAGATACGACTCAGAGAAGTTCATTTAGCTCTGAGCTTTTGAACTTCCTAGGAGGATTTTTGTGGGCAAAATGAAATCACCTTTCCCCATACGTTTGTCTGAAATATTTTTCTCTTTATTTCGTTGTCAGGCGTTGTTCCGCCACTCAGTAACGCCAAGAGACTATTCTCTTCATAACCCACAAGTCCTGTCGTAACTATTAGTCCTTTGAGAATGAAACAAGACGTTAAGAAATGTGCAAGTTTTAACGAGATTTTTGTGAGATCCACTCCGAAGTCTTAACCAACGTGGGCTCCAATTTTAAATTGCCTCCCCGATATCCCTTGGACCAGAAAGAACGACTTTGTCGACCTGTCTCTAGCGAGCACTCTTTGGAAAAACTGACCAGATTAGCAACTTGAAAACCTAATCATCCACAGAAACTGTCCTAGAGAAAGGCGAAAGTGCTTTTGATCATGAATACCACCCCTTTGTATGTGATTTTCTCTCTCCCGTTATAGGACTCTAGCCATGGTCTCCGACTGAAAAAAAAAAAAAAAAAAAAAAAAAAAGAGAAGAAAAAAAAGGGAGAAAGATCGAACTAAATGTTGTCATTTCCACCAAAGACTTCTTACACCCATCCCTGCCGCCTTTTCCCTTGCCACCCAATGTCCTTTTCTCCTTGTTTTTAAATACTCATGGATTTTACTCTTTCTATGGTCGAATCCTTCGTCCCATAGACATTTTCCATTTTCGACCAGATAGGTTCACATTTGAAGCCTCCTCTTCAGCTTGTGGATGCTCCATGATCTTAGCTGACTTCGCTAACTTCATTAGTTTTTCCAGTCTTTGACTGCCATCAAAACTGCGTGAAGATTGGCACTAGAAAGTTTTGGCGCCATTTTTTGTCGAACAAACTAACATGGCTGCCACGGTTAGAGGTACGATAGTTTCAACGTTCAAATTACATGGCCTTTCACTCAAAACAGAAGCATCTAAATTCCTCACAGAGGTTCTAGGCTCCTTGACTGAAGTTGAGTTAGAAGATTGGCTGGATAAAATCGTTGAGGGAGTCCAAAAACAACCACTAACAACTTCACTCGTCGATCGTGATGTAGTCGAACAGGCCGTTCAAGAATGTAGTTATTCTTCTGAAGACGACAGTGATAACGTTTTTACCTTCATTGATGCTTTCAGTGTGCCAGTATTTTCGTTTAACCCGGACAGAAAAAAGTTTTTGCCGCATAACGATGTTAGGTCTCTTCACGCACATAGCCCGAACGCCAAATCCTTATTGTTCCGAGAGAGATACAGAGTACTTCATCAACGAACCATGAGGCATGAATTGTTCTCGCCGGTTGTAGAGGGAGCTAATCAGAACCAGGTAGCGGAAAAGTTTGCTCTTAAGCCCGTAGAATTCCTGCTAGGGAGTACGGCAAACCTGGGACAGAAAATTGTGCTGGGAATGCTGACGCAAATCAAAGAGGGCAAATATTTTCTAGAAGATCCTTCTGGTGTTGTGGAACTTGATATTCGTCAGGCCAATTTCCACACTGGTCTTTACACAGAGAATTGCTTTGTGCTTGCTGAAGGAACCTACGAAGATGGTGTATTCCGCGTCAAAGCTTTAGGTTTTCCCCCAGCTGAGCCAGGAAAAGTGACCAGAAATCATTTTGGTAATGTTAATTTTTTTGGCGGCCCTTCCTCCACCAGTCTGAAAGCATCAGCAAAGCTCAAAGCCATAGAAAGGGAGAACCACAATGCAATGTTCGTCATTTTATCAGATGTATGGCTGGACCAGCCAAAGGTGATGGAAAAGCTCAGAGCTTTGTTTTCAGGATACTCAACCATGCCACCAGCCATGTTCATTCTGTGTGGAAACTTTACCTCTGAGCCATATGGTCCTAAACACTATCACACTCTTAAAGCATCATTCCAGGCTTTTGCCAAGTTGGTGGCAGAGTTTCCACCACTGATAGAGAACAGCCGCTTTGTGTTTGTACCTGGGCCGCAGGATCCAGGACCTGGAAACATTCTTCCAAGACCACCAATCCCTACAGTATTCACCTCAGCCATCACTGAAAAAATCCCCATGAGTGTATTCACGTCCAACCCCAGCAGGATCCAGTACTGTACCCAAGAAATCATTGTTTTCAGAGAGGACCTCGTGAACAAAATGTGCCGTAACTCAATTAATCTGTCATCAGACTTGAAAGACATCCCTGTTCAGTTAATGAAGACAATCTTGGCACAGTCCCACATTTGCCCTATCCCACCCCATGTCAGGCCAATTTACTGGACTCAGGATCACTCCCTCAGGGTGTATCCTGTTCCAGATCTGATGATTTTAGCTGACAAATATGATCCATACACTTGTTCTAGTTTAGAATGTGTTAGTACAAATCCCAGCTCCTTTGCAAGAAATGAATTTGCTTTCAAAGTGTACTGGCCTTCATCTAGAGAGACTGAGGACTGTAAAATCAGTGATTAATATTTTATTTTGTTGTATTTTCAGTACAATACAACAAAGCAATGCTATGACAAGGGAACTCACCATTATGAACATTGGAAAATAAGACTGCTGAATGTAGTATCTGCATAACTCAGTACCAAGCACAAATGTCTTTCTATCCACTGATAGCTAATGCTAAGGAATAAATGTACATAAGACTGAAATAAGCAAGTTTCGAGAAACAATGATCATAGGAATGTGACAATTTTAGTAATGGAAACCAGAACAAGTTACAGAGAAGGACATTTATTGCATCTGTTGCATGTTTTTTAATTGTATTTCCTTGGCCAAGGTATCACTGATTGTATTCTTGTAAAACAAAATGGATCATCCTCAGCAAAGTTGCATTGCATACTTTTGGAACATTCAAGTGGCTAATAGAATTTGTTTTTCATGTCAAAGCACCTACTGGCCACGTGTTTGTAAATAAACTGGATATTATATACAAAAAGGTCAGCCTCAGTTTTAATCTCCAACGTATGTGATTCTTGGATGAACAACTGTAACCATTTGTGTGATCTGAAAAAGCACTAGTATTGCAAAATATTCTTAAAGGCACTGACATTGTAAAATTATGGGGATATGACAAAACAAACGGAGAAAGTTATAAAAACAAAAATTCTGAGTATTTTAGCTTTGTGACAGGACAAACTGTACTCTAGTTTTGAAGATAATGACTCATTTAGGCGTATCGAAATATCACTTGCACATCTGACGTGCTTGTCACGCAACCGTATTTAAAAGAGTCACGCAAACCATCAACAGTCAGGCGATAACTCAACTTGTTTACGTCAGTCACCTAATTGACAAACGAGAAATTCGAAGTTTAAACGCCATGGGTACCATAAAGGCCGGATATCTCAACAAATTAAGTAAGTTTTTCACAAATAAGAATTCCAAGTATTTGCTGGAGTAAACAGAAACTCAAACTCTTCTTGTTCTCAGGCGGTTTCTTCAAGAATTCTTGGAAGAGGAGATACTTCGTTTTATATCAAGATGGCGTATTCTGTTATTACCAAGACTCGAAGGATAAGGAATGTGACGGTAAAATCCATATGAAAACAGAATGCCGCCGAATAAATGTTGGTCAAGCCGTCGGAGTAGGAGTAAAGCCTCCTAAGGACAATGATATAAATGCCATGTTCTGTGTTTCTTCGCCCGAACGGACGTGGTATCTCTATGCAGAAAGCGAGAGTGAAGCAAGGTGAATACTTCTCCGGTAACTTTATTAAGATTTTCGACGCTTGTATCAGTGATCTAAACTTCTTTGTTAATCCTTACACTTGTATAGTTTTTCTGTAAAGCAGTTGTTTGACTTACATTCAGGCGACACATCTGATCACCAACAGCCATCTTTAATTTTTCCAGTCTTCCGCCCTTCACAGCTTATTGCATGAAGCTCGGTGTTCACATTGGGGGGTTAATTGTCTTACAAGGAATTAAAAGGGATGGTTTGGGCAGATAATAGAGATATCAGTCTCGTTAGAATATTCTGTTAGAGGGGTGAGAAATGTAGATGTTTGATACACATTGTTTTTCTTTTCTTTTCCTAAATGCTTAAACCATTTAGAATAATTAAAACATTTATAAGACAATCGAAAGTGAGAATTCCATTGATGGGAGAGAAATACCACTTCCTATTTTCTTCATGTTCTCTCTCATGTATTACAAGGTTCATCTTCGACTGTGGTTGAATTAATTTTTGATCATTTTTGTTCCAGAGATTGGATTTCAGTCTTAGAACAAGCTCGAGTTCCAGTAAGTAAGACTGATTTGTGGCTTGAGTCAACTGAACTTCAGCAAGGTTTTGCATTAAGCAAAGTATATCACTACACGTGCCACACTGAATGTTTCATTAGGTGTGAGAATGTTACATCCAAACACATAGCTTAAAATATGATTTTTTTTTTTTAATTTCCACTCTGCAACAATCAGGTAGTTAATCAGAGCTCTGAGCTCACCTTTTTTAAGGCTTCTCAATTAGCCATCTTAAATCGTAAGATGGTTGCCAGAAATAAAAGTGTGGTATTAGGGAAGGTACGTTTTTTTATTGGGGGGGGGGAGGGGGTGGGCCGGGGTATTTTAGAAATTTTTTGCCAAAAAAGTCGTGGCCCTCCCACTTTCCAGATTGGATTAATGCATGACCCTTCATAAATGCCTAAACAAAAGGATCTGACCCTCCCCCCACCTCCTCCAAGACAAAAATTACCGTAGGTGAAAATAACTGACCGGAAGTGTTGCTCACATAACTGTGTCTGTGCACAAAGCAGTTAATTGCATGGTGTTCCATGGTGAAAACTTGAAAATGGGCAAGTATGTGCGAGGAATAGAAAGACAGAAATGCACTTGTGGAGAATGCGAGGATTTCATGAGGTCAGATGGAGCAATTGTGGCTATTGTGTGGCTGTTTGCCGACTCGCCATTCTAAAAAGCATGCCCGCTACTCCTCTGACTCTGTTGGTAGCACATCAGAAACATTACTGATGTCAAAATATGGACAAAAGTGGGCACGGGTCGAGAGAGACAATTACGTTAGTTGGGACAAGATAGTTTTTTGACAAAACATTTCAATATCTGTTTAAAATGATGTAGATTCATTTAGACTGGTAGCTTTGCTTGTATATATAAGTTTTAGGTTTCTATACACTTCGCATGTTTGGTAATAAATAATTAAAAGTCAACTAACCGACATGGAGTAGTTTTTCCTTGCCCCAAAAAAAAAACTGTGACCCTCCCCCGGCTGCGTATCAAACAGGTTTGACCCTCCCCAATTTGTAAAATATTTACTAATGACCCTCCCCTCCGAAGCCCCGGCCCACCCCCCTCTCAATAAAAAATGTACCTTCCCTTACATTAGGCAGGAAAATAGCGAGTGGAAGTTTTCGTTAAGAAATGTCCCCATAATTGATTACTGCCAGCAGACAGTTATTTTTGGAGGGTTTCTTTCATCTTTTTGTAAACTTGTTTTCTTTTTTGTCTCAACAGCTTACATATGGTGGTCAACAAAATCCTCCTATGGCTGGTTCCTATCCTCCATACAGTCCTCCTAGCACAGCTGGATATGGAACAGGAGCACCTCCTGGATATGGAGCGACAGCCCCTCCCACAGGGTATGGTGCAGCAGCACGCCCTCCACCCATTGGTTTTAATCCTTCAGTTGTACAAGGAGCAGCACCATGTAAGATATAATTACTCAAATGTTAACTTAGTGGAAGTTGAGAGGTTCAAGTCTGAGTCTTTGAAAGGCCATTATGTTGTGTTCTTGGGAAAGGTGCTCAAATCTCAACCAAGTTCCTCTTTCTGTCCCTGGAGGATTATAAATGGGCAAGGGCAAACAGTCAAATAAAACTGAGGAATTTCTGGGAATCACTTGCAATAGACTAGCATCAATCCCACTCAGAGGTAGAAGGAATACTTCCTAGTCAGGCAATACTACAGGAAAAAAAACAACAACAACAAAAAAACAAAAAAACAAAAAAAAAACAGAACAAGCTCTGGTAGTGTGGGCCGAGGGGTTTTAATAAAAGCGCTTACCAGCAGCCTATGGCGAACTGTAAGACCTCTCTTCACTGTCTGTTTAGCCTGCAAGGCTCTTTAAGTTTTGGCTTTGCCTTGCAGCACAGCCACGTAATGTACTATGGGCAGCTGCTTAATGTGGAAGACATTTTTTAAACCCTTAGTGGGCCATGTGGCTCCAATGCTATATTGTACGTCTTTTAGTTTTGGTTTTGAACTAATGGAAATTCTAGAGATATGCCATGCTAACTCTGTGTGTTTTAGCAGTAACTAATAAAAGCTAGATCATCATATGATCTAACTTACTGTGATAGGTTTGCTCTTTATTGCACCACTGGCCACAGGTGTCATTATTTACTTATTTATTTATTTATTTTCTCAATATAAAAGCAAGGTAAAATTTTAATATTTAATGCAAACAAAATAATTTTCCTAGAGGAAGAAAAGGTACGTTAATCTTGATCTTGAAAAGAGACTCTTACTTCCTTTGTTACATTCTCCAAATTTTTTTTTTCAAGGGTCGGCCAGATTCTTCATCAGTTGGGGTTGGGTAAATTAAAGCAAGCCAGGGAAAGTGTGTTAAGTAGAATGTTCAATTAATTGTTTTTATCTGTTTTTTCATCATTTTATTAACGTGTCAACAGCTGGTCCCCCACCACCATACTCCCAGGGCCCTATTCAGCCCCAAGCAGCGTATGGCCAGCCACCACCTTATCCACCAGGACCAGGATATGGGCCTCCTTCTTATCCTCCAGCTAATGCCCCAGCTAATGCCCCAGCTAATGCCCCACAACAGCCAGGCTATCCACCACAGCCCCATCCCTACCCACAGCAGCCACCAGCAATGCACCCACAGCAACCTCCTGGACCTTACCACCCTACCCCTCCCCCTGGTCAATATCCACAGCAGGCATACTATCCTGGCCAAAGCACAACATACATGCAGGGTGGTAAGCCGCAGACTGTGCATGTACAACAGCCTCCTCAGCAGCGTCACAGTGGAAGGAACAAAATGATGATGGGAGCTGCAGCAGGTGTTGTTGGTGGAGCAGCAATGGGTTATATGCTGGGTCACACTGTAGGAGGGATCGGGCATCATGGCTTTGGGGGGTGGGGCTCTGACCATTCATGGTCTTCTGGAGGAAGTTTTGATTGTGACTTTGACTAAAGAAAAAATAATTATCCCTTGTAATTTTTTGGTCAAATGACATTTTTTTCTTTCATTTAATAGCCAAGGATGAAAAGAGGAAACAATGGGAGGACCAGTTTCTTTTATTTATTTTTTTGAAATGTTGCTGTCAATGTTAGAGCAGGTGGCTATGACCACAACAGGGGCTATGGCTAGACAAATATTAACAAAAAAAATTTACACTTTTTCAGTAAGACCACCAATAAGGGGTTTGAAAGCAGTGGCCACTAGGTTTTATTCATTGAACTCCTTGGAAGTTTTTAACCAACAATGTCTAATTGCCTCGTAACTGTTTCACAGGTTAGGTACAATTTCTTTAATTTGTGAGAAATAATTTTTTATCAAGACTCTGAAGTTAGGGAAGTATAACACCATTTTCTGCAGTGCATAAAATATCATTATTTATTTTTCCCTTTTGATAACTGGATTCTGAGTATTTATCTTGAAGTATTATCTTAAGGATAAAGATGCAAGTACTAGTGTAGGACTAACCCTTAAACTCTCAGAAGTGATTAACATGTAACTTCTCCCTATAATATCCATACATTCTCCAGTTAACAGGTAATGAGAATACTCAAACTTATCAAGGTAGAAGTTGTTACCTTGATTGAACAGAACACCAAATTCTCATAACCAATTTACAAGGAAATGTGTAGCAGCTAGAGGTGAGAATTAACAATCAGATCTTGTGAGTTAAAGGGTTAAGAAATATCAAATACAACTTACATCAGTTGTAATTGGGTGTACGATCACAAAGAATCATTTAAAGTAAAATGATTCGTCACTTTCTATGAATTTATCATGTAAATAAAATATTGTTAGTTTATGCCTTCATCTTTATGGTGAATTTCAGCAAGAAATTACAATAAGAAATGATGGTGCATGTTGATCTTGTACGAAAGGCAAATTCTCCCAGTGGTGGCCTTGTGAAAGTATAAAGATGTATAGTGGTATTCCATGTGGACAAAAGTAATCTGTGTTTTCATTATATTTCATAAGTAAAATAACCAGTAAAGCATTTTAAGGGTAATTTAAGTGTAAAAACATAGCTTAGTTGTTGTCCACAATTCTAAGATAACTGATACTTCATTTGCCCCTATTCTAAAGATTTAAGTTATTTGTATCTCTTTCCTTAGCTACCATGTATTATTTTGTGCAGGAGATAAACTGTTAGTAGTACCAGGAGTTTTTTGTTTACACACACAGATCAGTTAGTTGAGAAGTCAAAAGCAATCCTGTAGTTGCCAGAATTTTAATGCCTGACAAGAAGTAGAAAAACTCACTGGTCTGTTAGGGTGGAGGATCCTGACCCCTCCCCTGAATTCTCCCTTGGTATGAGTCACAGTACTGGTACTCTGTCAAGAGAACCCCCCCTGACCAATATGTTTGACTATTCTTGTCACCTCCTTTCAAAGTGATGTATTAAAAGTATGAGATTCTTAATGTATGTGTTCATCAGTTCTGGGAACTAAAAAGGTAAAATCTTGAACAGTTAATGGGGACTTTAAGCTGTCAGCACGGCAACGCCGCAGAAGATGTCGATTAAAAAATGAGTTTCTACTTTTAGTTAGAATTTCGAAAATGGCTGCATGTGTTTACTGTCTCATAAGGCACCAGACCTCAAACTCAACATAACGCATAAAAGTAGTATTGAGTTCCAAATGTAAACTAAAATAATTTGCAGCTGCGGTTTTGCTTCGCAGATGACGCAAATTTTGGCGATTTCATGTCGTCAATTTGCAAAGGACAGATAAAAAATGTACAAAGTTTTAAAACGCACATGCTGGGCTATTGTTCTGCCAATAAGATCTATTGTTTTTCCATGTTCTCGTTGCCTTAGTTGTCGTGGTTTGCTTAAAGTCCCTATTGACCCTTAGGAGTGACTAGCATCTAGTTTCTCCTTACAGTGTCACCCCTAAATCACTCATGAAGGTCACCAGAATAAAGGAAATGATCACTAACTAAAGGAGCTCTTGACTGTTAAACAAATTCTCCTTGTCGGCACTTTGGGTGGGCACTTTGGGAAATTTGTGGAGAGCAGTATGGAGAATTTGCAAACTGATGTTAGGGTGTAAAAAAGGGTTGAGACTTGCCTGTTATACCAGTAAAATTCTCCAGAAGTAAAAACAAACCATTCACAAAGACACCTTTAGGGTTCAACTTCTTGTGTACGGTACATCAAAACTCTCACTGTTTAGTTCTGGTAAGAACATATATTCCTGCTTTGAGACCTCCTATGTTGATCCACAAAGTAAAATCTTTCTTCCACTGTCTAGAACTGTTCAGTACTTTCCACATCACTTTCTTATCCTGAGTCAGAAGTACAGCCCTTGCACTTCCAACTGAACACACCCTGGCCATTTCCTGAAGAGCTCTTGGATACAGTTTCCAGTTTTCATGCTTGGATCCACTTTTCTTGCCAAAAGGCAAATCAGAGATGAAAACATCAATGCTGTTAGACTTCAAGGGAAGATTGCACACATCCCACTGAAAAATGTCCAGGGGAAGACTTTTCCTATGTAGAAGAGGAGTAGAAACTCTGTTAATCTCAAAAAGTGCATACTGATCACTGGATGAAAAGAGACAACCCAGCAACAGCTTCTAACCCTTCCACTCCCAAAACTTTATTAGAAATTCTCCTTAGTGTCTGCCATGCAATTCTTATGATGTTACTTACAAGAATTTGGTATTGGATCAACTAATAATTCCATCATTAGTAAATTTTTCTTTCTTCTCATCACTTGTCTGCTTAATGCTGTATAGACATAAGAAAAAATTCTGTCTTGGTCAGAATCTTTTTTTCACAGCTTTCCCCTACTATCCTTGACAAAATTCATTTTTTTCCAAGAGAAAGGATTGATACTAGCTTAATATTCCTTGCAATTTCAATCTGTAACTAATGATTTAGTTATAACCATTGTCAATAGCCCATTTCCAAATTGCCTTTAGCCTCTTTTTCAAAGCGAGTCGTGGTGCTCATCCTTTTGTATGGTAATAAGTTTCATTCACATGCAAATTAAACTCATTTTCATACGTAGGGTTGAGCACCAGACCTTGTTTTGAAAAAGACACCAAACGTAATTTGCAAATGGCCTATTGTTTGGCAGTCTCAAGGTAGAACATACAGCTGAATTGCTTACTTTTTCTCCAACTGTTGTTCAACCAGATTCTGTACATTAGCCAAGGTCCTGGCAGGAGCTAAATCATGATGGTCTCCACACAAGTGAAATGATGTGGGCCAGTTGAGGGCACCTTCTATAGGAATAGAGCCTCCACCACACATAGGATCACATACCACATCACCTACATTAAAAAACAGCATTCAAACCAAGAAAATGCATAAAATGCATAAGATGCATAATGTTTTTTTGCCACAATTAGCCATACCAGAGCTTTTTGCATTAAAAAACTGGGCATTCTGGAATTTCTGGAATCAATTTCTACTACCTCAATTTTCATGTATCCACAGAAGGTAAGCTGATCCTAAACGCAATTATTGGATCCAGCTCCAAATTTTGACTCCCCACTGCTTCCATAGCCTCGCAGCTCTCATTTTCAGCTGAGTAATTTTCTCCCCTTTCTTAAATGACTGCTTCCTCAAGTTCAACACTATACATCCCTCTTCCAGCAACTTACTCATTTCAATCCTTGTCATCTTTTTCACAAGTCAAAATATGATCGGATTTTATATAAATTCAATTCAGAGCTACAATCTTTAAGAATCACTAGGGACATTAAGCAAACCACAACGGCAACGAGAATGTGGAAAAACAAAAGATCTAATTGGCAGAACAATAGCTCAGCACATGCATTTTAAAACTTAATTAGTACATTTCTCAGTCATCCTTTGTAAAACAATGACATGAAATCACCAAAATTTGTGTCATCTGCAAACCAAAACTGCAACGGCAAATTATTTAATTTCCATTTGGAACTCAACACTACTTTTATACGTTATGTTAAGGTTGAGGTGTGGCACCATATGAGACGGTAAACACAAGCAACCCCTTTCCAAATTCTAATTAAAAGTTACTGTAGAAAGTCATTTTTTAATTGACATCTTCCTTGGTGTTGCCATCCTGACTGCTTAAGGTCCCTACTACCTTGTCTAAGAGAGAGGGAAAGTTTCTAAAGAAAATGTGTGATAGTCTGCATTGATGGCGGGTATAGCAAGAAAATTTGGTTTAATATCAACTGAGTTGTTGTCAATTGGCAACTGTAAAGAGTCTCTGAAGCTGACATTTCCAGTGTTAGCCCTTCATGAGAGTAAATTGATTTGCTGTGTCAAAGGGCACAGGTTTCTGCAGCTCAAGTGTGCTCCTAGATTCCAAGAAGACCTGGGTATTTAAGGAGCTACTCTTGAAAAAATTGTGAATATGTTCATGCTCTGATTGGTTAGAATGAAACATGGAGAAGCAAAATAGATTCCAAACTTCAGCAAGCAGGAGGAGAAAAATACCTTTCCTAAAAATTGACAATGAGGGTGAAGGAGGGTGACAACTTCTCACTGCTGTATGCTACAATTAACAATTGTTTTAAGCTCATGAATTTAAAAAAGGGTCGAAGGTGATTAAAAAAGAGATGTTCCATACCAGGTTTAATATCTGCCAGTGAAAGCATACAATAGGCTATTGATGACTTTAAGGTCGTTGGACCAAAGTGGGCAATGTTCCGTTTTCCCCTACTTTCCTTTGTCAGGGCGATACCGATGACAACACTGTTGTCGACAATGTTGAGAAGTACTTCGATATCTGGATGGCTTAGGTCTACTCGCCAGCCAAACCCATCGTTTATCCCACCACCAAATTTAGCTGCAGCTTCTTGGGATGAAAAGCTGTGGTTATCGCCAGTGCGTGTACATGTGACACGGAATTTTGGTAAAACCATCTGATCTTCGACCTCTAGAGGGTTGGTGCTTGTTGATGTCGACGTTTCCCCAAGATCAACACTTGAGGGTAAAACAGTTGCTCCAGAACCGTCCTCCTCACTCGCCTTCTGCTCGCCAGAATTTTCATTGGTGTGTTTCATTCTTTTCGCCGGAGCTTCTCTTTCATTCTCCAACTCCTCGGCCAGAGACTCGTCACCTTCTTTCGAGCTTACAAAACCATCGCGATGGCAATGCAATACATCGCTTTCGTTTTCAAAAATTGGTCCGGAATGTCCTTTAAATTGCTTCCACAGGAAAAGACTTGAGTTCCAGTCAAGGTTCTGTGGTAGTTTGTAAAGCTTTTCAAGAATATCTGGACTGTAGCAATCAAAGCCTTCACTATTGTCTTCTTGAAATTCCTTTACTACGACGAAGAGGTGCTCAACAGATCTTAATGACTTCAATTCTGTAAACGAATTTGTGGGAATATCAAAGTATATGCGGCCTCTTGCTTCCCTTATATACTTGCTTCCTAGCTTTTCTTTGCACTCCTTCACGGCAACGGACTCCAACCCTGTAGTAACCGTTGCACATAAAACACTTACACCGTCCGCCATCTTCCGCACGAGGCGGGCTGTAAATGCATGCTTCGTATAATACGCTTGTTGTATACTTTTAAAGAGGAAATGTGACAACGCGAACTGTATGGCGTTCAAAATGACCATTCAGAAGCCAATGTTTCACGCAGAAAGGAAGAAATGGTTTGCAATAGGTGTACTAAGACATGAACGGCAATCTATTTCTTTAATCAAATATTTGAGTTCTGTTGACAGATCACTATCACTTATTTGAAGGATAAGTCAATCCCATCCGTACCGCTGGTCGCATCAACTCTAACCATGCTCGACACCGTGTTCCAACCATCGCTCCAACCCTCTTCCCGACCCATCCGTTAGTACCATTGAGCTAGTAGTCTTCCATTAACAAACCTTTGAAAAAAATTCATTTCCATTGGCTTAGTGCTACAAAATCTTATTAACAGTTTGTTACACTAAGCAAACGCAAGAGAAAGAGTTTGTTTTTTACAGAAACCTTAACTTTCAATTCACTTGTGCATTGCTATAGACTGTGTTTAAGGGTGCAGTGTTTTGCTGTCACCACGTCAATGCAGAGATTATAGCCTCTTGAAATAAAAGGAAGGGAGGTTTTGTGACCACCAAGCCACTAGGGAAGTCTATGGGCATGCTCCCCTTGAAAAGTTCTTAAAAATAGTTCTCTTGATGTCATCTCCCGCATTTTGAGATCAAAGTCAATAAGAGACCTAGTAGATTGTAAGACATCACAGTGAAAGCTGACCTGTTGATTGTCATGAAATTTTTTAAAATGGTTAATACTTGCTTAATCAGGGATTAGCAAAAATTAAGCCACAGAATGTTTCACTCTTTTCTGCAGCAAATTTTGTGTCATTCTTGCCACACCAGTCACATGCAAACCTTGCTGCACAAGATTGTTCCCCAACAAAAGCATAGTCTAGTACAAAAAGACCAAACAAAATAATTATACTCAAGACTGCTCTGGTATCATACCACTTATTTATTCATTTAAATTGTTGCTACATATGTAACAGTCTATTTAAAGATCTTTCCTTGGTTGAATTTTTGTTTCTTTCCACCAAAGTCTCCTTCCCACAAAAAGTACTCCTCAATGAGCTTCTTATGTTCTGGATTATCTACATCCAATTTAGTGAACTTGTACGATGGAGAGTCAATGGCCCAGTCTTCATTCAGCTACAAAAGGAAAGCATTCAATTTTAGTAAATAAGAGGAAGAGGGGTCAAACACTTTTATGTCAACTAAAGCAAAGACTTTCATAGAATACATGAAAAAAGGGGGTAGGTTTCTAAAGAAAGTAAGGTGCCTTGTCAGTGGGAGTACAAGATAATTTGGTTTTATCAAGTGAGTTAACAATCCAAATTGGCCACCATAAAGAGTTTCAAAGCTGACATTTTGCGCATTAGCCCTTTGGCAGGGCTCTGATGAAGGCTAATGCTTGAAACATCAGCTTTGAAACTTGACAAGGGTGGCCAATTTACATTATCAACTTAGTTGATAAGACCAAATTATCTTAAGGAACACAGTTAAGAGCAACTACTACAAGCTTCCTTTCATGGTGCCCCTCATACAAGTATTAAATGGATTTCCACACAGTTGTTCGGTCCACTACTCTATGATAGAAATAATCATTGGGGCTTTTTACATAAATGCAATGCAGCTTATGAAAAGTTATATCTTTAGTTTATATCAAACACAAATAATCAAATCAACCAAGTGATGGAAAATTCAAGAAATTTCCTTTCATTCCCTGTTTCCAGGTCCAATTTAGACTGGGAGCAGTGCATGCTTTTACCTTGACCAGTGAACTCCCCAAAAAAGCAGGGATTGCTCTACGTCTACCTCAGATTCAAATTTGACACAAAGTTTATGTTTATACTGAGAAGAAAATACTTCCTCTTGGGTGAAACTTCAGGTAAACAGAGCTGATTTCAGAGGTAAGCACCCCAACTGTAAAAAAATTCTAATGCCGAGCCATTCAAAATTTTGACCCCCTTTGCATTTTAATACAAGTTCTGGAGGGGTAGTCAAGAATCAATGTTGAACAGTAGGCAGGATCTAGAGCAAAATTAACCACAAAACAAACAAAACACAGAGAAAAGAAACTTTAAAGCCAACCTCAAAAGCAACAGTTTGTGTGCGGAAGATCCAAACGCCTGAGATAGAGACATCGCCATCTACTCCAAATATACCGACACTGGCAAATGCTGTCTTGCGAAGTTTATCCAGGCGCTGAAACATTCCACTGACCAAGTTACAGGACATAAAGACCCTTGACAGTTCATCATCATACATGTACTCTGCCAGCCAAATGGAAAAGTCCTCCTTGTTAAAATGTTCCCAGAAGTATGGGATGGCCTCAGTCGCAGTGTCTTTATTGGAGTAAACACGTTTAAAAGCATCCATATCAAATGAGCTGAGGAAAAAACCACCGAGGGTAATCATTTATTAATAATTTCACTCCTGAGATCTCAATACTAATTCTCCCTACTGTCTGCTACACAATTTTTAAGATATCAGTTTGGAGAATTTGGTATTGGATCAACTAATTGTAACCCTAACTTTCTTTATTCTCATCACTTGTCTGCTCAATTTTGTATCAGTATAGTAAGGGGAAATTCTGTCTTGGTCACTCGTAAGAGTTAAAAGGGTCAAGAATCTCAGATGTGATCATTTCATACAAATAAATTTGATACCTTGCCACATTTCCATCACATTCCAAAGGACCAGCTGGATCTTCAGGGGTTTTTTGTTTTTGTTTTTGTTGTTTTTTTTTTTGCATGTTTGCTGGAAATTTTGATACAGCAAAAAATTTTCAGGGACATCCCGTAGAGGAATGTAAAGAAGACAATTTGGAGAATAAGCTCTAGGATTCTAAATTTGAAAGGTAGAATGTGCCAATGTTTAATGAAGTAGAGCAGTCTCCTGACCTCTTTGGTAGGCCGGCATATGGATCTTTAGCTTTTGGTTGTTTTGGTAAGTCATCCTCCTCATCATCCTCTTCTTTTTTTGGTTTTTCCTTCTTTTCTTTCTTGGGCTTTTCTTGTTTTGGTTTCTCCTCTTTGGTTGCTTTGGGTTTCTTCTCTTTCTTCTCATCTTGTTTGGGATGGAGTTCAGCATATTTCTTCCCTGAAGAGGTAAAGAGGAATAAATTAACTATAGTGCCAAGTCCACATCAGCTTATTTTTCTACGTTGACTGCCTCTTTTGTACTCCTACCAGCCTGCATGTAGACTCTATTACCTACCAAGGAGATGCTTAATATTTCTAGTAAGGTGCCTTTGTCAACTCAAATCTGGGTTAATAAAGTGAGTACCCTTCAACACTTGAAAAAATGTAAACCCACTGGTGTTCCTTTCTTTAATTCTACCAACTGCTAATCCCTCCCTTTTCTGAGACGTTGATGTAGCAGTCTGGAGCCAGACACAGGCCACAGAAGTAAATGTACCTACTGTACGTTGATCAAAATTCACCCCAACATCTGTATCCATATTCTCCATACTCTTCGCCATACATTTCCTTAGGTGCTCTTGAAAAAGGAGAATTTGTTTAAAAGGCTCCTTATGTTAGTGATCATTTCCTTTGATCTCATGATCTTAAAAAATGGTTCAGCTGTACTACTGTAATGAGAAATTAGATGCTGGTCACTCTTAGAGCTTAACAGATGAAATTTAACAAATGGTAAACACCACAGCGTACACTATTGAGTTATGGATGCACGCGGGAGGTTGCTAAGCGCAAAAGAAACGTAACTCTAGCTTCTGGAGTGCTTAGCAAACCTCCCAAGTGCATCCATAACTCAATAGTGTACGCTGTGGTGTTTACCATTTGTTTTATAACATAACATCGATACATTGTAGCTAAAGAGTTCCCTTTTATTTAACAAATCTTACGTGAGCAGAAAAAACAAGCGCGCGCGGAAAAATAGTCTTTGCATTTGCTCATGTCAGCAGCGTACACCCATGGGCAAATGGGGGACTTTAAATTGACCAATCAGAGCGCGCGCTTTACTTTGGTTATGTTATAATTTGTAATGGGTCTGTCTTGGTTCACCACAGAGAGAAACTAGGGCTCACCATCAAACTTCGCCATGGTTTCACAAAGTTTCACTTCACCAAGGATTTTCTTGAACTGAGGCTGATTCACAATTGTGAGAAACCATCGGTTCACATTACCAAATTGGGCTCTGAAACTTGGCTCCATCACCTGTAATTCAAATCATTTACTTTTTACCATTTTATTGTGTTGTTTGTGAAAAACATGTCTGTACCCCACCCACTAAAGTGCTCTGATTTGAACACCCTATCCCTCTGAAAATCACAATTTTTGTCATATTGTTTCATATTATTTCATTCAATTCTATTCTCATGGTCCTTCTTGACTAATCTATTCAAGGTTACTCCCTGCAATTCGTCAAATTTCCCTCTAGATTTTCTACAACTCTTCCATGCTCCTGAGAGGTAAGACAAGTACATCCTGAGAGTAAAGTGATTTTGCCTACGAACACAGCAAAATGACACCCTACAGGCTCACATCTTGATCTCTCGATCCAGAGTTCACTGCTCAGAGAATAAGGCCACAACACCTCTTGAATTTCTAAAAATGGTTGTAAGTTGTTCATTTCAGGTTTGTGAGAGCCACTAAGAGCCACCCTGCATAGCTTGAATGTAGATCACTCAATCCACAGTACAAAAAAAATTATTTATGTCACTAGATAATTTGGCTCGATCAACTTTTGGCCATGCCAGAGAGTTTCTAAAGCTGATAATTCAAGCATTAGCCCTGCATAAGAGCAAAGGGCAAATGGTTGTAAGGACAAAGGGTTAAAGCTGGAAACATTAGCTTTAGAGACTCCTCAATAGCCAGTTTACATTATCAACTCAGTTGATAAAACCAGATTATCTTATAATACCACCCAATCCCCTCTCCCCCCTCCCACTGCTATCCACCACTGCTGCCCAACCTGGTTTGTTTGTGGACACCCACCCCTTTAATTCTTCTTGCGACTAACCTGTTTATACAGCATAAGAAGATTGCAACCAACTGCAATGTCAGCAAGTGTCACACGCTCACCCACAAGGAATGTCTTGGTTAAGAGAGCACTGTTTAGTACTGTCAAAGCCTTCTTCACATCTTCCATGGCTTTATCAGTGGCCTGTAAAAAAGTTTACAACTAATTTCAGGCAAATCAATGCCAATGAAAAGAATTAATTATATTTCAGGACCTGGATGACAACACTTAAAGATCTAGGGCTTGATTGAAAAGAAAAAAAATGCACACCTGTTTGTTAAACTGCATCAAACCAAGGGTTGGAAAGACCCAGGTGGCTACAGCAGGCAAGATTTCTTGGTCAGCAAAGTTCACATACTGTTGGATCAATGCTCCTTCCACAGGTGTCTTCCCTCGCAGTTGATCATTGGACACTGAATGAATATGAGGATATTGTGATGTTAATAAAAATATCATGTAATCCTCAGTTTGGTTATCTATTTATTTATTTATTTATTTCAAGATTTGTACATATAGAATATATACAGGTGTTAGAACAAAAGGATATAGCATTCCCTACAAGGTTCACCCACCTTACCCAACCCCATAAACCTAAAAAACAAAACACATATATGATTAGATAAAAGCATCTTAACAAGAACGTGCTTTTCTTATATTCACTCTTCTGCATTTTGGACAAATAATCTTGTAAGAGCGAATATTATCCCAAAAACATAATGCAGATGCCAGAAGAAAAAAGATTTGAGCTTGCCCTTGAAGGAGTCCAGGGAGTCTAACCCTTTAATCTCCAAGAAAAAAAGAGATTCAATTATATATTAGCTGAATAGAGGTTGCTTCACCTGACTCTTGCCTTATCCACCCTTGTATAATAATGATTCAGCTGGGTCAATTAACCCTTTCACTGATAAGACCTTGTTAGTAATTCTCTTTATTACATGCCTCGGGCCAATAACTAAAATCAACCAATCAAAATGCTCTATTGCCGATCCAATATTCTCTAAGTATTGGACCGGGCACTGTCCCGAATGATACCACACTTGTGTCCCTTTGAACTTCAGTCGTATAATAAATCTCTTATTAACCAAGCTTGCTCGGGACCGTACTGGAAGAACATCGGCCCTCAGTCTTTTTGGTACGGACCTCGCTACATTCGGTCCATACTGTCAAGACCTCGGGCCAATATTCTCCCAGTATGGCACTCGCGCTTGGTTAATAAGATATATTTTCTGTCTACCATACAATTCTCATGATGTTAGTTTGGAGAATCTGGTTTTGGATCAACTTATTATCCTTTCACTGATATTTTTCTTTATTCTCGTCACTTTTCTGCTTGATAAAGTATTGATAACATGAGGAGATATTCTGTCTCAATCACTCATGGGAGTTCAGTCGTTACAAAATAAAAATATCAAAGCAAAATTACCATAGTAAGCAATGGCATTGCTTTCATAAATGCACTTTCCATCTTGGGTCTCAAATGCTGGAACCTACGAAAAAACAAGACAAAGAGATATTAGAGAACCTTTTTAAAATTCAGACTTCTCTTACTTAACCCATTGACGTCCAGTGCGCCCTCATGCGCCCGGAAATAAAACCCCTCTGAAAATCCAGTGCGCCCTCATGCGCCCTGTCAGATATGACTCGTTTTTATTGGCTGTAGCTAAGAAACCGTAGTCCCCTGGGTATTGAAATATAACTGAACGTGACCTGCATAAATTAACCTTTCATTTGATGTTATGTTTTTCATTCAGCGATTCGTGTGTGATTTTTAGCGAATTTTTGAAAATAGCATTCAGTATTTTAGCGTGGCTTCTCGCGGATTTGACGATACTTCGCGTTCTTCCGATGAAGAAGAAGAAATCTTTCCTGGTTTTTCTCTCTCGAAGTGGCTGAAAATCGACAGGAACGGCAGAGAAGGCTACAAGAAAAATCTGCGTGATGTTGATGGAGAAATCGGGTAGATCTTTGATTTCGGCAAGCGCTAAGGGGGAACAAACTCCGATGTCCATATTTTTGCTAGCAAAGAAGAAGAAGACGATGAAGTAGATAGCGACAACGAAGATATGCCTTTGGGGTTCAATGGTCAAACACATTGAGTGAAATTGACATCGAAGAGTTTACCATAATTTCCTCATGGCCCAACGAAAGATCTGGGCGAGGGTGCAACATCGAAAGATTTCCTTAATCTTTTCATCGACGATGGGAGAAAACGAAGTGATGGACGCGCGTTCGAAACATATGCTTGTGAGCAATGCGGCGTTGCATTATGTCAGCAAATGCGTGGCGAACTCTCCTGCTTTTCAAAATAGCACGAAGGAAATTAACTCTTAAAAAACACTTAACCTTTGATCTTAAATTGTACCTTGTTTTTTTTTCGTTCTTTGGAGCGCTGTATTAGGCCGTAAAGCCCAATTTCATTTCACCTTCACTTTGCAAGTCGTGAACTGGTCAAAGATAAAAACAACTTTCTTTGTTTGGTATAATCTAAGCTTTGTTCGTAGTCTCTAACTGAAAGGGTTCTATTCAATCGATAGTTATTTCATTCTTCAATACTTCCATAGACGATTTACTGCCAGGTCTGTGTAAGCTTAACTCGTAACTTCTAGTTTTTTTTACCTCGTGACGTTCACTGATGTCAGCACTGGCGGTAAATTCAAATTTGATCTGTGCAAGAAAACTTACGAATTTCACTCTCTTACCCGTGAGATGGCCTGTTTTAATGCAAAATGTTTTTGACTAATTCTTTTTGTTTGCATTTCTGCTGAGTTAAGAGCAGCAATTGAGACTTACTGTGGTTTTAAGATGTTTTCATTTCCTTGTACATAGTAGGTAGTACAGCGATGGTCACTTTGTTTACTTGATGTCCATACTTTAATATTTTTTTTAAAAAAGCATAACATACATCTTCAGTATTTAAGCAGTTTAAGTAATTCTTTATTGTATTGGCAATCATGTTTTAAAGTTTCACTGCTGAAGAGTAAAACCAAGACATAAAATGGTAAATTTGTTTGGACCATGTGGTTTTTTTTAATTGGACAGCCATTTTGTCTGGATTTTCAGGGGTGGTCTGGGCTGAGGGCTTTGGACCTTAATGGGTTAAGGCAGAATTTGACATTTTTTTCTACAAAGAGTAAATTTGAAACAATTTTTAGTGTAATAGAAAAAATCCGAGCCCCAGATGGGACTTGAACCCACGACCCTCCGTGATCTAGTCGGATGCTCCAACCACTGAGCTACTGGAGACTCTATGGTGAGCAAGGGTCAATTTGTGGCTTATATATATATATATATATAGGGTAAATTGTGCCTTATATTTCCAAATAACATGGCCACATAAAATTACTTGCTAGCTCCTATCAACTGTTTGCTGTGTTATCATAAATACTATTTCTTGTTTGATTGATTGTTTGTTTGATTGACTGATCAATCTTGATTGAAGTTAGTCACTGTTACCCCTTTTCAAGGGCATAGCCAGGGGGGGGTCCTGGGGTGCCCGTGACCTCCCTTTGGTCAGTCTTCTTTAGAGCAAACAACCTACAATATTCAGGTGGCGAAAACGCCATGACAATATCTTGGCCGTAAAAGCCATTGATATGGGCCTTCATGCGGCGATAATACAACTGAGCCCCCTGATACAAGCGGGAGAGCAGCGCTGTAAATGGTGAGTAGCCTCTGTGACCCCCCCTTTGAAAAATCCTGGCTGTGCCCCTGCTTTTAAACCCATGATCTGATTGTTAATTCTCCCCTCTGGCTGCATCAGATTCCCTTGTAAATTAGTCACAAGAATTTGAAGTTAGATCATGATCAAGACAAGAACTTCTACTTGATAAGTTTGCATATTCCCATTACCTGTTGGCTGAATTCTGTATGGATATTATTGGGAGAAATTACATGTTTATCTCTTCTGGGAGTTAAAAGGGTTGATTGAAGTGGGTCTCTCTAGCCCTGGACCACACACTTGTGATAAAAAAAAAATTGGTAATGGAATAGACAAAATTAAATTAGTTAATTGACTTAAATTCTAAAGTTAGTCTCTATCAAAAGAGATAAATTGCATAGATCTCTCTTACAATTGATTAATCAATTAATTACGTGAGTATGCACATCTCTTGTTACAGCACAGGCGGCCCAAGCTCTCTTTGAGAACCACACAAGGAACACAATTTGCATATCAATTTATAAGGATTTGTATGGGATTTTCTACAAGAAAGCCGTAGAGATAGTTAAAAGTGAAAATATTAAATAAAAATGGCTTACCTTAATCCTGGTTTTCTCTTCTTAAAGAGAAGACAAGGCCGAACACTTCTGTCCAGACAGCCTCCCGAATGAAGTAAAAAATCCCAAGCTAAAATGTACCCACGGCCACAAATCTGCCACACAATTCAAGGGCAAAGGTTGACCTTTCATTTCGATTCTCTAGCCACACAATCTCAGCCCTACGATCGACGCCAGGCGGCTCTTCGAGTCCTCAGTGAAACCTTAAAACGTTTGTAGACAACCGAGTCCTTTTTAAACACGACACAACAACCGTTGAAACCGGCTTGGTAACCTCGTCATGTTGGCAAACCAGGACTCGCAAGGGTACTAGACCTCAACTTGTCAAACAAACTTCTTGTAAAACCCGGGGTCCCCTCAGGTTTAGTACCCCCACGAGTCTTGGTTTGCCAACATGACTAGGTTACCAAACCAATTTCAACAGTCGTTGTGTCGTGTTTAAAAAGGACTCAGATGTCTACAAACGTTTTAATGTTTCACTGAGGACATGAAGAGCCACCTGGTGTCGATCGCAGGGCAGAGATTGTGTGGCTAGAGAATCGAAATGAAAGGTCAACCTTTGCCCTTGAATTGTGTGGCAGATTTGTGGCCGTGGGTACATTTTAGCTTGGGATTTTTTACTTCATTCGGGAGGCTGTCTGGACAGAAGTGTTCGGCCTTGTCTTCTCTTTAAGAAGAGAAAACCAGGATTAAAAAAAACCGATTAAATGAAGTGAAATCGGTAAAATAACGACACCAGGAGAGAGCAACACACGTATGGAATAAGGTAAGCCATTTTTATTTAATATTTTCACTTTTAACTATCTCTATGGCTATCTTGTAGAAAATCCCATACAAATCCTTATAAACCTATATGCAAATTGTGTTCCTTGTGTGGTTCTCAAAGAGAGCTTGGGCTGCCTGTGGTTACAGTACAGTCATGTACAACATTTGTTCCATTTGGAAATAGCAGGCAACATTATACCTTCTATATATAGTAAATTTACTAAGGACTTTTTTAATCAAGGTCTAAGAAGTACCTTTCCAAGTGGGAATTTTTTCAAAAACTCCGCCGATTGGTTTGTCTCACCAAACTTAAAGGGTGGAAGAGTAATTTTCGCACCGCTGTACTCAGCAGCGATGAGGATTTTGTAGGCCCGAAAGTTGTCGGGGTAAGTATACAAGGCCTGTAAAATATAAAAATAACACAACATGAGGAACCATAAATTTTCTCTACGCTTAGAACACGTACTGGAATCATCAAATACCAAGCGATTGCTCTAAAGGAATGAGGATTCAAATCACAAGACACTTACACCAGCAGCCATTGCTTTGTCGGAGAAATAGAGGACGGTCGATGGGCGCTGGGTCCTACTTCAAAGACTAGCTTGGTAGCCGAGCCAGATGAAACATTGCGGTACAATATCGTTCAACATGGCAGACGAGATAGATGATGAAGCGTGAAAGTGTTCCAAAGCTGTTAATTTCTTGGTGGAACTGGATCAGTAATGCCTAACTGGTACTTTAGTAAAGAGGGATTGTTACGAACGCCTTCCAGGCTTGATGGCATCGATTACACGACTGAAATACGCTACAGAAGAGAGGGAACCCGCTTCATAATGAACTGTGGAAATCGAATGAGATTGTATCCTAACCTCATATTTTGTTTTCGAAAATGTATCCTTCGGAGTTTTCCTGTAAGATATTTTGGTGGATCCGCTGCTGAATACTGTGCCATATTGGCTACTTCTCGTGAAGCTTACTACACGATAGGCAGAGACAAATACAAATGTACATATCTTGAAAAATTCGCTAACCACTCAATTTTTTTCATTTTTTCCTTTCGTGCCGTGGTTACAGAGATGGAACAAGTGTGAATAAAAAAGATTTTTTAAGGATTTTTCGACAAATCAGCAAAGCTCCTTTGTTGTAGATTGAAAATATTTTACCAGATTTGCACATGTGATTTGTGGCCACAATTCACAAATGTTTCTTCTTGACTAAGTGAACTTTAGACGTTACGACACCATGGCCACAGGAGCAGTTTACTTTCACAGGTTTTACATGGTGCAGTCATTCAAGAACTTTCCTCGATGGGTATGTTTGATGCAAAATAAACTGGAAAACTCCAGGGATTTGGCCCCCCAGTAGATTTATTGTACACATTTACTTTTAAACAGCTCTTACAGTCACTTGAGATTTTCTGTTTTTTTGTTGTTATTTTTACTGAGATTCTTTATTTGATTATTTTATTTTGGGTTTTTGTAGGTTAGGGCTGTCTGGCAAGAGTTCCATATAACCCCATACATCAATTATGCATAGAGCGTTGCAAAGAAACCTTTATATTTAGTCTTTATGAAATAGAATGCATAAAATTTGATGTATGGGGTTATATGGAACTCTTTCCGGGCTGTCCATTTGTAATCAAGTAATCAATTGAATTGATAAGGGCAGTGAATAATGAGCTTGGCCATTGACTATAGAAAGACATTTTTAAAACACTCTATGTGAGCAAGTGGGTAGAGAATACATCTTATTTAGTACACGGTTAAGATATGAACCTTAGAGCATCAGATCTCCAAGGTGGATGCTCTATTATAATTTTATTACACGACTCGGGCAGTCAGAGGGCCGATAACTAAAATCAACCAATCAAAATGCTCTATTGCCAGTCAATATTCTCTCAGTATTGGACCGGGCACTGTCCCAAATGGTCCCAAATGATACTCCACTTGTGTCCCTTTGAACTTCAGTCGTATAATAAATCTCTTATTAACCAAGCTTGCTCGGGACCGTACTGGAAGAATATCGGCCCTCTATCTTTTTTGTACGGACCTCAGGCCGATATTCTCCCAGTACAGCCCTCGCACTTGGTTAATAAGATATATAGAGAGTTGCAGCAATCTAGCTTGTTGGTCAACATTTATCCCTGCCTCTCCTTTTCCTCACTCCAGAGGCAGAAATATTAGAAAGAGACCAAGAACCAACTTTCTTGTTGGTGGTGTGCCAGGCCAGTGACACGAACTTTTTCCCATGCTGATAACTACAATATTTTTCAGGTTTTAAATACCAGAGACAGATAGTTTTCTTTTGTCATTACTTAGTTTATAAAAGAAAAAAAATTTTTTCCAGGTTTTAAGCTCTCTCCTCATTTTGTAGTTACAACAAACAATGACTCAAATAATAAAAAAGAAATCATTTTTTGTTTTTTGTTTTTATTTGTCAGGTTACAGGTGCAGCATGCTTATTTCTTGCTGGGAAGGTAGAAGAAACACCAAAGAAATGCCGTGATATCATTAAAACATCCAAAAGTCTTTTGCATGACAATCAATTTGAAACATTTGGTGAGGATCCAAAGGTAAGTCTTAACCTTTTAACTCCCAGAAGTGATCAACATGTAACTTCTCATTATAATTTCCATACATTATCCAGCAAATGGGTAATGAGAGAACTCAAACTTATCAGGTAGAAGTTGTTATCCTGATTTATTATATGGCTGTGTCTCACAAAGACTGGGAACTACCGAATTCATGAATTTGTTTGGCTGAAATCAATATTGAAAGCGGTCTACATTTTCCCATCTAGACCGGCATTTAGACCAGTCTAGAAAAAAAAGGTACAAAGAATATTAAAAATTGGCATATAAGACACAGCCATATAATAAACATCTTATTAACCGAGCTAGGTCGGTCTGTATGGGAGAATCTTGACCTCGGTCGATGGTACAGACCTCAATGCGTTCGTTCCGTACTGGTGACCTCGGTCAGGATTCTCCCATACAGACCTCCCACTCGGTTAATAAGAACTAACACCAAATTCTCATTGCTAATTCACAAGGAAATGTGTGGTAGCTACAGGGGAGAATTTGCATCAGATCTTGGGAGTTAGAGGGTTAAATACTTTTAAAGGAAAGCCTGTTTCAGGTTTTATTAGGTCTTACAGCTGTTATGAACTAGTCCCAATTTAACTCTTTGATCCTGACAGTGACTGGCAATTCCACTCCCAATTCCATGCTAAATACCTCATTTCATTAACCAATCAGAATGCAAGATTTTATTCCATGATGCAATTCTAAAGGAAATGATCTCCAACTAAAGAAGCTCTTGATTGATATAATACAAATTCTCCTTGTCAGCACCTTAGGAAATGTTTACAGAACAGTATGGAGAATATGCATACTGATGTTGGGGTGTAAATATATCTTATTAACCAAGCTTGCTCGGGACCGTACTGGAAGAATATCGGCCCTCTATCTTTTTTGTACGGACCTCAGGCCGATATTCTCCCAGTACAGCCCTCGCACTTGGTTAATAAGATATATAGAGAGTTGCAGCAATCTAGCTTGTTGGTCAACATTTATCCCTGCCTCTCCTTTTCCTCACTCCAGAGGCAGAAATATTAGAAAGAGACCAAGAACCAACTTTCTTGTTGGTGGTGTGCCAGGCCAGTGACACGAACTTTTTCCCATGCTGATAACTACAATATTTTTCAGGTTTTAAATACCAGAGACAGATAGTTTTCTTTTGTCATTACTTAGTTTATAAAAGAAAAAAAATTTTTTCCAGGTTTTAAGCTCTCTCCTCATTTTGTAGTTACAACAAACAATGACTCAAATAATAAAAAAGAAATCATTTTTTTGTTTTTGTTTTTATTTGTCAGGTTACAGGTGCAGCATGCTTATTTNCTCACTGCGTTCGGTCTGTACTGGCAACCTCGGTCAGGATTCTCCCATACAGACCTCCCACTCGGTTAATAAGAACTAACACCAAATTCTCATTGCTAATTCACAAGGAAATGTGTGGTAGCTACAGGGGAGAATTTGCATCAGATCTTGGGAGTTAGAGGGTTAAATACTTTTAAAGGAAAGCCTGTTTCAGGTTTTATTAGGTCTTACAGCTGTTATGAACTAGTCCCAATTTAACTCTTTGATCCTGACAGTGACTGGCAATTCCACTCCCAATTCCATGCTAAATACCTCATTTCATTAACCAATCAGAATGCAAGATTTTATTCCATGATGCAATTCTAAAGGAAATGATCTCCAACTAAAGAAGCTCTTGATTGATATAATACAAATTCTCCTTGTCAGCACCTTAGGAAATGTTTACAGAACAGTATGGAGAATATGCATACTGATGTTGGGGTGTAAATATATCTTATTAACCAAGCGTGAGGGCCATACTGGGAGAATATTGGCCTGAGGTCTTGACAGTACGGACCGAGCAAGATAAAAGACCGAGGGCCGATATTCTTCCAGTACGGTCCCGAGCAAGCTTGGTTAATAAGAGATTTATTATTCAACTGAAGTTCAAAGGGACACAAGTGCGGTATCATTCGGGACCATTCAGGACAGTGCCGGGTCCAATACTGAGAGAATATTGACCGGCAATAGAGCATTTTGATTTCTGATTTTAGTTATTGGCCCTCTGACTGCCCGAGTCGTGTAATAAATAATTAATTATTGTTGCATTAATTTCAAAATTTTAAGGTTGTCATGTAAAATATCTTATTTTATTTGTTGAATCTTAGATTTTTTTTAGAATTTACAGCATTCTGAAATTTCTATCAAGGTGATTTCAGGTTATCAATTAATTTACAGTAAAACAAGGATCAAAGCTAATTCTCTCCCAAATTCACATCAGAGTGTGATAAGTAACTTGATCGGTAAACAGTGTTGGATTGTTTTCTGTATTTTCAGGAAGAAGTGATGATGTATGAAAGAGTTTTACTACAAACAATCAAGTTTGATTTACAAGTGGAACACCCATACCCAAGTCTTCTCAAGTTTGGAAAAGCACTCAAAGGTTTTAGTCTGTTCTAAATTTCTGCATTGTTATTTTAGGATTATGAATTATTTTTACCTTTATATGCTGAATAGGAATATTCACCAAGCATCTTCCTGATAAGCCTTGTATGTCATGGCAAAATAATTAAATTCTCATGCGCAGTATTATGAGGAGCAAGATACTCATCTCTCTCTCTCTCTCCCTCTCTGATTGTAAATTCTCTCCTCTGACTGCTTTACATTTCCTTGTAAATTAGTAACAGGAAGTTGGTGTTAGATTAAGCTTACAACTTCTATCTAATACGTTTGAGTATTCTCCTTACCTGTTTGCTGGATAATGAATGGATATTATAGGGAGAAGTTATAATTATATTGATCGCCTAAAAATGGTTACCAGAAAACCTCATGATGTTCGGTTCCAGTACCCCATCCAGATAGGGTAGCAATTCTCCTTGTCTAAATGGAGATAAGCTTTGCTGGCGTGGGCTGCTTGACTTGTGTGGTGACCTAACTGCTAATTAGGGTAATGTGTTAATGGCAGTCAGAAGGGATAATTACTGGAAAGATCATGAAAGGGAGAGAGGAACTTGATGATGAACACTCCCTTTACCTTTCCAGGTGACCGTGCAAAGATAAACAAGCTGGTTCAAATGGCTTGGACTTTCTTAAATGACAGGTTTGTTTTTCAAATGTAACATTTTAGAATGGTGACCAAGTCATTTTTAAGTGTAAAATCATCTATTCTCAAAGTTTTTTTTCTTTAATCTGTTTGGGAGATTATTTCTGTTTTGGAGTAGACTACTTCTGGCAGGGCGCACCAAGCTACAGTTAGACATGATTAATTTTTAACAAGCTAGGCTATGGGGATGACTTATTTAGATTTTTTTTATAAATTATATGATTGGTTTTCATTGGCACTATTTAAAACCTTTCAGCTTGTCTACCCCTCTGTGTTTGAGATACAAACCTGAAGTCATCTCAGTTGCCATGATAGCTTTAGCAGCAAAGTTCAACAACCATGACTTACAAGCCACCTCTAGTACTCCTGGCAAAACATGGTACCACTCATTCACCAAGGGGGCTACAGAGTCTGTGGTTGAAGGTAAGTTTTTGATTGTTGTAATGGAAACAGCAACACTGCAGCAAGATTTGGAAGGCTTTGCAGGTCATTTAAAGGTGTTTGAATTAGATAGCCTTCGTGTGGAAGGAGATGAAGTTCCAAGCTGGTTCATTCTGTGGCAAGAACAACGGTCAATGTCATAGTATATCTAAGGCTACATTCACACACAGTGCCTGAACATTAGGGATAGGGCACCAGGACAAAATGGTGCTGTGTTCAGAAACAGGTTACCCGATATAAATCAGTGCCTGGTTCAAAACCCAATGATGAGGTGGAGACCTTGTATCCACCCACAGGCAGGGTACCTGCCTGTGTATCCACCCACAGGGTACAGGGTAGGGTACCTGGGAGGGTACCTGCCTGTCTATCCACCTTATATCCACCCACAGGCAGGGTACCTGAATTCTGGCTTGGGTACTTTGAAAAAGGTTTGTTCACATTAGTGCCCATCATGAATTGTACTTGGGCACTGTGCTGAAGCACCAAGTGTGAACGCAGCCTTTTTTTACTTCTTGTCACATATATCAGCTTCACATAAGCAGGAGTCATAGCAGTTTACTGTTACAACAACTGCTGCATTGAATTATCTTGTACAGTGGTGTTCTTGTCAAAACAAGCAATTCTTTTATTAAATGTTTTGAATGCAGATATTTGTGATCTGATGCTGGAACTCTATGGTGGTGAAAAAAAGAAGGGAAAAACAGAAGCCAGTGATGAAGGAAGCTCTTCAAACCATTCTAGTCCAATGATTAACCCCAGTCCACCAGCTGCTAAGAAGAGAGTGAGTTTTTCTTGTTAAAGTGCCCCTGTGATCAAAATTTTCGTACATCATCTTTTTCCATTTTCGTGTTCAGTGTGTCTCCTTCACTTACTCTGCCAAATTTCAGTTTAGACCGAGCACCAGAAATATCTTTTTTCAGGCTGTTAAATTCACGATTTCGTGTCCGCCATTATTTGATAATGTTCCGGAAGTTGATCGCAGGACTCAGAGGAAGTGACGTCAAAGGCTCAACGCAAAAATCTCACATGGCAAAATGTCAAGCAAACATAACAGAGTGCTTTACTCTATTCTTACAAAAACTAAACAAAAATGACTGGGCATCGATGTGTAATCAAAGCTGAAGTAATCATGCAGACCATGCTGCAGGTATTATTTTCTCTGCATCGGAACCTTGCAAATAGATCAGAGCGGGAAAAACGGATGCGATTTGTGCGACCTCGCCGAGTGAACTTCAATCCTACAGAAATATTTGTGATCTACTCCAAACACTTCTCGGAGGACTGTTTCGAGAGATCTGTGTACTTTGAAGGACCTAGGCGAAGAATTCTGTCGGGTTCAGTGCGATCTCAACGCCGAAAAGCGAAGTCTACGAACCTCCACGGATTTTGTCACCTTTACATATGAACTGATCAATATCCACCTTTAACAACTCTCTTCGCTCCGACAAAGGGCTAATACTCAAAACGTCAGCTTTTGTAATCATTACGGTGGCCAATTTACCATTTCAACTTTGTTGATATATCCAAATTATTTCGTTACTCCCACCGACGCCACGCAGAAGTAAATAAGCTGTAATGTCAGAAGTAAATAAGCTGTAATGTCAGAAGTAAATAAGCTGTAATGTCAGAAGTAAATAAGGAGGGTAAGTTTCAAAAGGAAACTGTGGTGCTGTGGAGGGTATAACAAGATAGTTTGGTTTTCTCAACTCAGCTGATTAAGTAAATTTAAATTTTGTCATGGTAAAGAGTTTTTAAAGCTTACGTTTTAATGGGTTAGCCCTCTGTCATTTGCTCTTACAATCTCTTTACAGTGGCCAATTTACACTATCAACTCAGTTGAAAAAAATAATGATCTTGTTGTACCCTTACTGATGCAGTACCACAGTTTCTTCTATTAGAAACTTACCCCTATATTTAAATGTGATTTTTTTTTTTTTCACTACTTTGTCCTGAGAATAAGTGACCAAGGAAAAAAAATTAATTAAAAAGAAGTTATTCAGGGTGACTGGATCACCTTTTTTCTAGCTTTGTCTGTCTTTATCTGGGAACTAAATTGTATAGGTAAATAAAATTTTTTTGAAGGATTTTGTTCTTTCATCAGATGCTCCTACTGTTACAAGTCAGGTTGTTACTGAACCACTAAAGCCACTGCCTCCAGCCTTGACACCATCTCAAATACAAGTGGAGAATGTCAGTCCTGCCCCAGTTTCCACACAGCAGCAGCAGCAGCAGCAGCCACCAACTATTGCAACTACAATGACAACTGAACCACCAAAGATCACCCAAACTGTTGACACTACATTTGCATCAGCTCAAACAGGAAAACAAATAATCGAAACATCAGCAGCAGTGGCACCTGCTGCTTTACAACCTACTTTGACATCTTTTGCTGTGGCAACTTCATCTTACAGTTCAGATCAAGCCTATGCCATGAATGTGTACCAACAGACAGTACAGCCAGCAGGAATTGCAACATTGACAACAAATGCTTCATTTCAGCCTACACTGGGGAGCGGAACCCTTGGTTCTGTGCCTTCTTTTCACTTGCCTGCTCAGTTTCAAAACCAGTCCTACTTGCCACCAACTCAAGGATATTCTCACTTTGCTACCCCTGCTGGTTTTCCAAATGTACCCCCACCACCCCTCCCCCCCATGCCCAGCAGTGCTGTATACCCTCCACCTCCAGGTGGTGTCAGCACCCTACAAACACCTACAGCATATGGGGTACCACCTCCTCAAGGCAGACCACCTCACCCTGCCATGACACTGCCTCCCCCTCCCCTTCCTCCATTGCACAGCGGGCAAATGCCTCCAATTCCTCAAGTGAGCTCAAATGACTTTCAATGGCCAAGACAGTTTGGAGTTCCTCCATCACAGAACCAACAGATGGGAGGTTGGATGAGATGATCAAAGGTTAGGTGTCATGATAGTAATTGTGTTCATGTTTAACTGAAAGTGATTTGAGGTAACAAAATAGATGAAGTCAACTTTCAAAACTACACAGAAAGCCAACTTGAGGTTCTGTCCTCATGTACCGGTTCACAAGAGCCAATACAAAAGACCAAACAATACACAATAGCTAACCGATAACTCCTAAACAAAGAAAGAACAATGGTAATTCCCTTGTGAACCGGTACACCAGGACAGAACCCAACTTGATGAAAGGGTCCTCCATCTTAGTTAACTTTGTAATTTTGAAGTCTTTCATAAAAAAAATATTGGCATTAAATTTTTTTGTCTCCAGTGCACTGCTTTTACTTTGAATCAATAACGCTTGGTTCTCCTAGAAGGAACATCTTAGTTACCGTTATTTTAGTTACAAGCATTAAACAATTATGTAACTCATCACTTATTAGGTATACTTAAAACTCTCCTATTTGACATAATCTTAAGTAACAATCCTAAGTATAATTCACCTTGATTTGTCAGAGTTTCCCCAAGTCAGTGGCAGTGTAAAATCTATGGCTTGTAGAGGCAGGTATACAGACTAACCTAAACCTCTTTTCCAAGAGAGGAGTTAGAAGCCAGAATTGGCTAATTCCAAGATGGCATCCCAAGTGCTATAAGGCTATCATGCACAGCAGCACAAGCAAATTTACTCCAAAATTTAGACTGCCAAGAAAGGCCTCTTGCCAAATCACTTCATCTGCTGGCTCATCCTTAGCAGCTTAGCTGGTTCCACAGCAACACCATGGAGACCCCATTGTCAGGCTATATGGAATCCATATCACACAAGTAGCAGTTACTTCCCACCCCCACCCCTACAAACAAAAACACACACCATCAAATCCCTATCAAAGAGCAGGGCCTCGCAGTAAGTAAATCTGACCTACAGTCTGGACTTCTTATGTATGAGGTCTGAAACAGGGAATGCCTTAGCCTGCCAGCTGGCCCTCATTTGATTAACACTGCAAAACATGCCTTTCTTCACTCCTGGGGAGATTTATGATAAGTCAGGGAGAAGTTTGCCAGGTGTCCAGCACTATTATTAGTGCCAGACCTCTTGCTAACTTGCATTTACTCGAGGTCTGGTGCTTTCCAGCAGTCAAACAAATGCTCATGCTGAAGTGCAGATGATGAGGGCACATACAGACATTTTTGTATTCTCTATTCGAAACTTCATTTTCCACACAAGTATTTTTTTGCCTTTCTTAACTCCCAGGAAGATTTATGGTAAGTAAGGGAGATGTTTATCAGGTGTCTCACAGTATTATTAGTGCCAGATCCCTAGTAGACCTCTTGCATTGCTCAAGTCCATATGCTTTCCTGCAGTCAAACAAATGCTCATGCTGAAGTGCTCATAATGAGGGTACATACAGACATTTTGTATTCTCTACTTGAAACTTTAGGTTCAAATCAAGTAGTTTTTGCCTTTCTTAACTCCAGGGAGATGCTTATCAGATGTCTCGCAGTATTATTAGTGCCAGACCTCTGGCAGACTTCTTGCTAACTTGCATTGCTCAATTCCTGATGCTTTCCTGCAGTCAAACAAATGCTTGTGCTGAAGTGCACATAATGAGGGCACACACAAGCATTTTTTTATTCTCTATTTGAAACTTAAGATCCCAATCAAATATTTTTATTCATAGATAAATTACTCTTCTATTTACAAAACTTGGTATACATTTTCTATAGCAAAAAAAACTCTTCAAAGTTGGTATGTATTTTTTACAGCACTTCCTTCTAGTGGGGTTACAGTTTTTCCTTTCTAGATGTCTGTATCAAAATCATAAACCCTTGCCTAATACATTTAAATTTAAATAAATACTGTCACAAAGGTCAAAATGGCATAATAGCACTCTGTTCTTTTTACATTTCCAAAAGTTAGGTTTTGCTAAATCTTCAGTACTGTAATAACTTCTTCATCACATTAAATACCTTTCTAACATGGTCATTTGCTTATCTAAAAGAACTTGACCCAGTGGTAAACAAATAGGAAACCACTGAAAAAATCACCATTACACCCAAATAGACCTTTTGCCTAAGAGAGTCTTAGGTACAAATTTCAAATCTTCAGACATGGAAATGCCTTGCTAACTCCTTGGCCTTCAAAACTACTGTAAGCAAACCCCAGCGATGGAAATAACTTGCCACTAGGGACTGGTCTACTTTGAAACATGGAAAGGTTTCCTGAGGTAATGAAAATACCCAGCAGTTCTCTTGCTCATACTATACACAAGAGTTTGACTTGTATAAGGTTAAAGTAAAGAGATGTCAGTTCGTGCTTCATCACAGCAAATAATTGCAAAATATCTATCGTCTGTACCACAAAAAAAAATTAAAATACCACAGAGTGACAGCCATTAACAACTAATGCACACTGTGGTGCAGTTAATAGATAACCACAGCAATTTCATTGCTCTAAAAAGCAAAGCAGCACAGGGCAAGGTTCACCTTCCAAAATGAACACTACAGATAAATTTTGACTTCATTAAAGTTAGATTTGATCAATGGTATTACAGAGGAACCAACTTGTTGTGCCAGGGAAGCTTTTTCTTTCTTGCAAGCAAAGAGTTTTATATCAACCTCTTTACAACGACCACCACTCTGCCATGGCCAGTCAGTGTGCCAAAACTAGCTGAAGCAGAAATTAAGCAACATTCAAGCCATAAAGAACATCAGAGCAAGCTGTCACATCACAACCCTACACTTAGTGCTCAAGGCTAAATGAGACCCAACTCAGAAGCCATACCTCCCCATAAAGGCCAACTCCAAACAATGGCCACTTCTGTCCAAGCCCAGGTTTGACTGTGATTTAACACATTTAAATAATAGCAGGGCTCCCATGTGCGTGTCCGGCAGAGCCCTATACCCATGGAATATGGTCAACCTCTTCATTTGGTTGTCACGGGACTGACCGAGCGTACGTGCCCTCAGATTGCACGGGTAAAGTAGGGGAGACTATCAAAACAAAGGAAGGGGTGTCTCAGGCGAGTTTTAACAAATGCACATCTTTTATGTTATCATTAATATTATGAACTTGGGAGCTCCGCTTTTAGGTTTGGCTAAATCTATATAATAAATATTACTTTGCTTTGCCCCGTGATATCGAGAAAGAATGTCAACAAGACAGATTTTAAGAAAAAACCATAAGAGTCTACAATAAGTCTTCAAGAATTTCTTCTTTCTCACGCCTATTAGTGCCATTTTGCCTCTGTTCTGGCTCATCTGATAACTTTCTCCACACAACCTGAAATTCATGACGTTTGTGAAAATGTAAATGAGAAATAAGTAGCTAAAATCCATTTAACCCCTTATACCCTAACATCAGTATATGCATATTCTCTACACTTTTAGTCATACATTTTCTAAGGTGCTGACAAGGAGAATTTGTTGACCAATCATGAATTTCAGAACTTAGAGATCATTTTTGTTATTCTTCTAACCTTTATGAGTGATTAAGGGGTCAAAACGTTAAACCTCAACTTCGTGAGCATGCTTCACCCAGATTACTTGTCTCAAAACCAAACATACACAAGGAGGGACATAATGTACACTTACATTACACATTTCTTTGAGAACTTCCACCTCATTGTCACCCAGTCTATCTACTGATTCATCAGAATCACCTGGGTTATTAGAATGCTCTAACTTCTCGTGTATTTCTAAAACCTTCATCGCTTGAGCAACTGCTTCAGGCGTCATATGCTGCGGTGAAGGGAAGGGAAGGTCACCCTGCAAAAAGATCACATAAAAATTGTCAACATTTGAATTCTCTTATAATCCTCTAGATGCTTTACATCTGTCACCCATATGACTTACTATAAGAATCACATCATTGAATAAAATCTCACATTCTGATTGGTTAACCAAGCCAGGTATTTGGCATGGAATTGCAAGGTAAACACAAGGCTAAATGATATTGTTTTGCATCTACATATACATAACTTCAAGCAAAGCTGTTTTCTTTTTTTCTTGTTTTAATTCAGTCATGTGATTCAAGGAAAATCCATTACTTGATTTGTCAATTCCGTGTTAAATTGCTCTTGAAAACCGATATCGCTCTCATTGCTTCGCAATTCGTGGGATATCAGTTTTTTCACGTGCAATATAATGCAGAATTCCCTTGTAAAGTAATGAGTTTTCCTATAATAATTATACCCCTTACAATTTGACAACAGGATGCATATTCTCCATAACATTTTCTAATATATATTTCTTAAGGTGCTGATCACAAGGAGAATTTGTCTGTTGACCTTCGTGTGTGATTCAGGGGCAATACTGTGAGGAGAAGTAAGATTTTAGTCACTCTAAGGGGTCAAGGGTTGAGAGAGTTAGGGTGTAATCAAGAAAACATCCATTGAGCTAACCGCCTCCCAGTTAGCTCAATGGATAGAGCACTGGACTGATGTGCGGGAGGTCAAGGGTTTGAGCCCCGGCCAGACCAACACTCAAGGTCTTAAAGTAATTGAGAAGAATATGCTGCCTTTCTAGAACATCAAGAAATGGTTTAGATATTCTAGTCTTCTCCGATAGGGACAAATAAATGGAGGTCCCATCTCCTGCAGGGTTAGGGGTAGGAGACCTTAATTTCCCATCCACGAGATTACTGTGTGATGGATGTCCTCCCTTGGGTTAGGATGGGTGGGTTGTTGTCTTGCGTTTCATACATGAGGCTTGGGCAGTATGGGTAACCATGCCCCACGTAAAGACATTAACCTTTGATTACTATTACTATTACGTTAAGAACAATAAAACAGAGTGAACTCAGATTTATCATCAAAGGACTAAGATTAGTTACATTACAATTTTAATGTTATTCTGCAAATGACTAAAATAATGAGAAAAATTCATATTCTTTCAAGGATTTTCAAAGCACCTCTTTCGGAAGTGGTTTCATGCCATTTCTCAAAATTCCTGGCTGATTTCCATCTATATTGCAGAGATAAATATAAACAAAACACATGTATAAATTAAATGCATTATGTGGTGTATGTTTTAGTCAGAAAATTAAAAGCTCAGGCCTGAATAGCAAAACTAAAAATAGACCTGAATGTTTGTAATTCTCCCATACACCCAGGGTTCTTGCTAGATTTTTTTCATAGGAGGTAAATAATAAGAAATAGCAGGTAACTTTGTTACCTTCCCCCCTGTTGAAAACTTTGGTAAACATTTGAGTCCCAGGTCTCAGTAAAATAGCCGGTAACATTAACTTGAAAAGCTCGTAAAAAAAACAGGTTGCTGGCTCTTGACAAGAACCCTGACACCCATATGCATATGTCACCATGTTTCCAAAGGATGGAAAATATGCAAACAAGTGTACTGGAATAAAGGTACAGGTAAACTCTGTACTCAAGCCTATTAGCCCATCCAGCTGGAGCTTATTCTAGTTTCCAAGTAGCAAGAAGCAATTAGGAGTACCTCTTATTCTTTCTTGGATGGGATGCCAATCCACTGCAAGGTTACCCCCCCCCCCTCCCCCCGCTCTCAACATCTCCCGTTCCAGTCAAACCTCAGTTATCTGGAACTCAATTAACCAGACTTGCTTCTCTGGTCCATTATCAGGGAACACTTATATTCATATTTTTTATTATCCGCACTCTTGGTCATCCAGACTATTAAGCCCAGTCCCCCATGAGTCCAGATAAGTGAGGTTCAACTGTACACATTCATGCTCCTGGGGGAAGAGAGGCACCGTGAAAGTAAAGTGTTTTGCCCAAGAACACAACACATTGACTCAGCCAGGTCTAGAACCTGTTTCTCTTAACCCAGAGTCCAATGCAAGGGCTGTTGGGACACTGCTGCCTCACCCACTAGAATCCTTGATGTATTAATTCAAGCTGGCACTTGTTGCCACAGACTAAGTCGCCTGAGACTCAAATTTTATCTATGTCTTTGAATCAGTTTCTAAGTTATTTGCTGTGAGTTACTAATTCAAACTATTTATCCTGAATAAAACTCACTTTTTATTCCATTACTTCTGGGAATTCTTGGTGGTGTGTCACTTGGAACACTATCTGTATCCTGCAAAAACATGAGTAATATTAGTACATAACACAGAAGTCAATACTGCTTTTTGCATGCTCTTGTTGGCTAGTTTGAAAATGAATAACCAGTACTTTTCAGCTCCAAGCAGCAGAAGAGACAAAACTGTGCAGTAAGTGTTTAATTTCCAAACTTTTTTTTTTTGTTATATTAAAAGATTGAAATAAACCCATTTTTTTGGTATAAAACAATTGTTCTCCTCCACCTTAGTGAAAAATTGATGAATATTCCTAATTAAGGACCAGTGAGTTGTTATTAAGAAACCACTGATGACAAACAGAGTAATCTCTTTTAAAACAAAAAAACAACAGGTTATAATCATGTCTCAACTGTAAGCTTTATGACTCCTATAGTAGTCTGAAAATAAAAGGATGCATTCATACGAAAAGGTAAACAAACACAGAGATGCTCTGCCCCAATCCTTCAACTCGATATTTTATTGATCACGACCTGAAACATATTTGAGTTGAAATTCAAGTATTATCAGCCCCTCTTATAAAAATCTTAGAGTCTGCATGTTTCTGGTATTGGATTTTGTGAGATATGACACATCAAGGCTCAACACTAACTATTCAACTTACTAGCCAAGTGGCTAGGGACAACTTAGATGTTACAACATTTCAGTTTGTTCACTAGCCAAACTGGCTGTTGGAAATTGGAAACCACTAGCCAAAACTGAATTTTTACCACATGCAGTCTGTGGCTAGCTGGGTACCATTATTGTCAAGCCCTACATATCTTAAGCAATTTTAATTCTGCAGCTCTATGAAGTATCATCTTTCATTCATGAATGCAATGTATTTTTGAAACCTTGCAAGCAAAATCAAGACAATGTTACCTCTATCTGATTTATAAACTCACATATTTGAGAGACATGTCAATTAAAGAAGCTAAAAATAATTTGTTGGCAATACTTGTCTTTACTTTAGAAGCAACAATCTCTGCTCCCTGTAAAATCAATATTTCATTTCGCAGTTATGATAAATGGAGACTTCGCCCTTTATCACAACCAGACAGGTTGCCTGGAACATGATCCCTTCCTGTCCCTACCAGACCAATCCAGGACTATACACATATCACATATCAACAATAACTGAGGGGTGCACTTTGAACCACAAAAAATTGGGATTAAAAAAAAAAACATGACGATAAGTAAGATAATATCAATCCTCTTAAAAAAACGTCCTCAAATATTTGATAGGATAGTCTTTGTGAAAATCCCGGGAGTAAATAGATAATCCGTTGAGTCACAACCACTTTTGGAAATGATGATCGAAAAAAAAATTGTTCGAGAATCAACTTACTGTGTCTACGTCTCCAGGAAAGGTAAATGAAACTCTCTTCTTTGCGACATCGGCCTTGTGTGAGGCGTAAGATATGTCCTTCGATAAAATTCAAGAGATGACGGTTAGTCTGGCGGCGAAGTACAATATTTTAGGAAGCCGAGATAACTCGATTCAATCCTGAATACCTAACACCCGCTGGGGTGTTGGAGTAAATGGCGCGGAACGCTGCTCAATCACAAAGACAAAGAGAAAGGCATTTATGCCAAAGACGTCGTTTTGTAAAGATAATTAACTAATAATAGGTCGATTGAACACTGAAGTAAGAGACGATCGATCTTTCATCGCCGTGAGTTCACTTGTCCTGAAACTCAATATATGTCAACAACGTAACTCCAGGCATGGGTGTTTGTATGTAAATCACGTATTCAAGTGCCTCGATTGTTTTGAAACCCTCGCAAATTCCAGTATCGTTCGATAAGAGCATAATTTTTATCACCAAATCATTGCAGTGTTTTCCAAGAATTGGTATTTAAAATTGTCGAGTCTCTAGCTAAGGAATAACACAAGAAATAAAGAAAATTGGGAATTTCGCCTCTCACTTCCTTCTCGTTGCACTAACTTTTTCCGAAGACGATCGCTCATGAGTTGTTCCTTCCTGAATATCTGTTAACTTCGCTTCAAGTCTCTCAGAAAAAGAATTTCTACGATCATCGACAACATTTCCTGAAAAAAAAAAGTTAATGTGTTTCAAAGGTATGTAGAGTTTCTAAACGAAATCCACTTTGAGAAAATCTAAATCGGAAACCACTGAAGTTTATCTGAAATTGCTACTTTGGTGGAAAAATATTGTCACCGACGGCGTATCGTTCATTCTACCGACGACAGCAACAAAAGGAATGACAGAAACGTGCTTTAGATTGGAGATATCCGAAATAGTACATAAACAAAATCAATTCAGATACCTGTATTGCTTTGTTTGGTCGGAGACAAACCCTCGTTACTCGCAACACGCTGTGAGCAGTTACTGCAGAACGTTCGATTTTCTAAAGCGACGGGTTCTCGCTTTCGATCAAGATACAGACAAAGTTCTTTTAACTCGGCATTGTCTTGTGAAAGATCACTTTGTTTATCTTCTAACACTTTCAACTTTTCTTGATAATTTGCGACTTCATTTCGCATTACTGATGCCGTATAACGTCCAAATCTTTGCCACTCGCGAGCAAGTTTTCGGCACTTTTGCCGATCGTCGTCCAAGTAACAGGTCAAATCTCGCAATTCTTGAAGATCTGCCTGCAGTTTATGATTCACGTCTTTTAGCAAACGTATTTCCTCTAAATGAACTTGCATTCTCTTGTTAAATTCTCTCATTAAACTTCCCTGGTCTTTCATAACTTGGAGTTTCTCGGCCTCACATTGTTTTACTTTCTCTACCATTCTCTCGTATTCTTCTCTCGAAACGAAGTAATCTCTTCCTTGCGTGTCCACTGCACTCATAGCGAAAAAAATCTTGGATCCTCCAGATGTCTTCCTTTACAGTAGGGACCGTTAACCACAGCTATTTTGTTATATATTTCATTCCCAAATGACCTCAAGACTGAAGTTTACAGAGAAAATTATGCGGCTTCAACTAAACTCGAACACAAGAGGCAGATGAATGAAGTCATCTGTCATTGACCAATGAGATCACCGAGCAAAAAACCCATCGTCACGGCAAGATGGCCTAGAACCAATTATTCGCAATTATTCGCACCCTTGCCTTTTGTGAGAAAAAAAAACCTCACGAATTGAGAATATTTTCTTTTGATTGTCACAGTGATTCGAAATGCGGGAAACGAGAGTGTTTATAGGAGAAAAACGTTTCTTTTAGATCATTCTAGTAGAAGGGTAAATCCAAACCTTCGATTCCACCTGGACATTGGAACTAGTGGTATTCAAAATATAATTAAATGACCTAAAAATAAAACGGCCATAGAAAATTGTTGCAAAATGACAAAATATTTGGCTCGTTATGCCCTCTTAGACCTTAGCACTTCTTTGGACACTACCTGATCCTTACGCAACATACTATCGGTAAATAATCTGCTGTTCTCAAACCCTGCGGGAGCTCAAGAAAACAAAGCTTGAAATCGTGATCGTCTGTTTACTCATTGAAATTAGTGCAACTTTTCTGATCAAGGGCATTTTTCCACGCCATCTCAGAGCTCCTAATTCATGCTATCCGCAAGAGACTGATCATGCTGAGGGAAAGGCATTTTCAAATTTGGAAGAGATTGATAAGCCTTTCGAAACTGATCTCCGGAGAGCACAGTGCGATTTCTACATCGGATTCACATCTTTCGCGAACGTCTTCAAGCATCGCTGCTCCTTCGAGTAATACATTTTATGAACACATACAAAATTCCCGAGGAAATTGCGGCTATCTGCGTGATGCGGGAAGGTTGAAATCGTGTACATGTATAAGAGGATCATCTCACTCCTCTATCGTTTATCAACAACACCCAAAACGTTTATTGTCCACATCAGCGTGTAACCTTGCAGTCACTCACACTGCCTCTGACAAACACTCTACCAGTAAAACAAAAGTGAATTTACAAAGTGGAACAAGGAAAAAGCCTTCATCACAGAACCCAACTATCACTACACGTCCAACTACATCAACTCAAAAGGTACGGTACATGTCTGACTCGGCGTTACGCTATTACGTAACCGAAAGATGCACGTGGGTTTAATCCACTGTTGGTCACTAATTTATAAATACCAGTTTCGACTTCCGCTCAGTTTGACAAAACGTCTTGTCACTGTCACCAGCAATGTTCCTCTTCATGACACTGATATTTATTGTTATCCTGGCTTAGGCTTGCATCAAACGTTTACCATGTAATGAGTAAAATAACGATATTAACTATAATCATTAGTAATGAAGATAGTAAAAATGATAGTGACATTATATACTGTAGTAATAACTGTGACGATAATATTAATGGAATTGTAATGATGATAACGACTTGAATTAAACTTTTAGACCAACTGGCAGATCTGCAAAGTCAAATGCATGGATGTTGAAAACATTTTATCCCATAGAAAACAAAACAAATATTTGAATCAAAGAGAAGATAAAAATTTTAAGACAAATTATAATTTAAAAAAATTCTGCTTGGTTTCTTAGTATTATGATACATGTAGTATTTATCTAATAGTATGTACTTATTTCTAGTAGTTAGTTTTATATCCTTTATTCATTTAGTAAAGGTAGAGTCAGTTTTTTGTCAATGTAGGTGTATGATTGAAGTGGAACAACCATCATTATCCCTTATCCAAGAAGACTAGAATATCTACCATTTCTTGATTTTAGAAAGGTAGCAAATTCTCCTCACTTATTTTAAGACCATGAGTATTGGTCTTATTCTCATTCCCATTGAGAAATTCATCAGTCAAGAGTGCAAATTTATTCAAGCTCTTGATCTTCCTTCATTACTCCTACTTAATGCCAGAAACTCTGATCACACTCAAGACTGTCATGTTTATTTGGACAGTTATTATTTTGTGCTACTGTTATATGTTGCAAGCATTATGTATGCTGACTTGTCACAAACTGCTTCTCTCTCTACATCCCTGTTCCCGCCTTATGAGAAATGCATATGAAATAGAGAAGTTGGGGGATAAATAACTCATAAAAATACTCAGCGATACAGCACACTAAAACAAATATATGTACATTTAGTTAATATGTAATATTTTTTTAAGATCTCTCTCCCTCTTCCCACCTATCTCCCTGTTCTCGCCTTATGAGAAATGCATATGAAATAAAGAAGTTGGGGGATAAATAACTCATAAAAATACTCAGCGATACAACACACTAAAACAAATATATGTACATTTAGTTAATATGTAGTATTTTTTTAAGATCTTTGTCACTTACCCAGTAAATTATGTTTTTTGAATCAGTATAATGACACTGAACTGCACATTAAAAACAACTGAAATTGTCAACTTGTTGGCAAAGCTATTTACCAGAATTATTCAATGGAAAAATAATAACCAAGTATAACCTTTCCTACAAATTATTTCCCTTTAGCTGAGTGGAAGATCAAAGGAAAAAGCTGTCCCTTCTTCTAGAGTAGGACGTCTTATGAACTACAGCGGTAAGTTCATCTGTTTTAAATTTATATTTTATCCCTTTCGCTCAAGATCTCATAAGAAATTCTCCTAACTGTCTGCCATACAGTTCTTATGATGCCTGTTTGGAGAATTTGGTATTGGATCAACTGATAATCCCTGGATTTTCTTCTTTCCTTATTCTCCTTTTCTGCTTGATGTTGTATTGATATTGTAAGGAGAAGTTCTGTCTTGGTCACTCATGAGAGGTAAAGGGTTCAAATACAGAGGGAAACCTTTTTTGTGATACCTCCATGGCAAGGACAGAACCTACTACTATTTGATAAGGATTGCTATCTAATTACACCATAGGTTATATCTACAGGTGACATTAAAAGATAATAACAATGATATTTAAATATAAAGGATATAAATAAATGGTCGGAAAAAAGGAAAAAGAAAGACCAAAATAAAAGGTTTTGCATTAATAGAGTCCTTAAAAATAAAATTTTTGTATCGTCTCTGATTTGTGTTTAACTTGTTGAATTTCTATGAAGATGCTATTTTTTTTTTTATTTTTTCTTAATGGATCATTTTATGATCTGCAGGGCTCGTTGCTGGATTAGGTCTAGGTACCCTGGCAGAGGTAGCAAAGAGACAGCTTGGTCTCGGCAAAACAGGTACTCAGGATTCTTGTGAACCCCTATACTCTTAAATGTGGCCAATGAGAAATTTCTCCATACAGTATAATTTCGTTGTCTAGCAGACAAGTTATGAGAGTAGAGAATATTTTTATGTAGAGGATTCTATTTAATTTGATTCCAAATTATTTGTCTCTATTTAATGTATTACACTATAGGATCTAGTAAGACAGACATTACTGGGAGTGCTTTTCTGTCAGAGGCAAATGCTGAAAGGATTGTGACCACCTTGTGTAAAATGAGGGGGGCTGCCTTGAAGTTAGGTCAGATGCTCAGCATTCAAGGTAAATCAGTCACTCAGTGATATTACAAACATGCAAATTTATTTGCATTTCCTTGTGTGTAAAAATAGTTTGGAAAAGTTGTCAAAAAGTTGAATTTGAGATTTCCAGAGCAATTTTAATTGAGGGTTATTGAAATTTTTTTTTTTACTGGAAGTAAGAAAAAGACATTCTGGACGTAACTAAAAACTAATGATAACTTCTCTTTTACTCAGACAACTCATTTATTTCACCTGAGCTACAGAGAGTATTTGACAGGGTGCGTGACAGTGCAGACTTCATGCCACGATGGCAACTGGAGGTAAGTTGAACTTTAAATACAATGCAAGTTGGCTTAGTATTAATTAAAAGGGCTTCACAAACATACCGTAATTTCCGGCCGTTTACCCGCATGGCCGATTACCCAAACCGGCCAATGATTGCATGCAGCAGAAAAAAAGTAAACAGAATACCTGCACTGGTGGAAAACCCGCACCTTAAAAGCAAAGGAAATTTGTACAAAATGCTCTACGAATTCGTGGCCACATTTTGTGCAAACAATCATTCAATGCCATGTTGATTTGTTGATTTCTCAAAAAAATCGATATCTCCGGTTCTACTGGGCCTAACAAGTCCCTTAAAACGGGAAAATTCTTTTCAGCGGAGGCTAGTGTTAACTGGAAATTTGTTACTGATGCACTGGTTATCCTTGGTTTATTTTTGTCACCATCAAGGTTTTTGTTTCCACACATGCAGATAGTAATTAATTTGTTTGGTACGCCACTAATTGTGCATGAAATAAACTCAAGTCGGCATTATGTTTTCATGCCGCTTTGTGGCACTTTTAATACAATAAAATTCATCTGAGAGGTGGAAACGCAGGTAGGTGAGAATTTTTTCAATTCAACTGCCAGTAGATTTCAAAATTGTCACATAACCTACACCTCCCTATTACCTGCAGTAGCACATGTTTAAGGCAAAATCAACAGATTACCCGCGGGTAATGGCTGGAAATTACGGTATATGTACATTCAACTGGCTGGACTCCAAAGTGAGTGTTACCCTGTCACTACATAGGCTAAGACACTCAACCCTATGAGTGCTAGCAAACAATCGTTGAAACCTACTGTGACTAATGCTCAAGAGTTCGGTACAATGAATCATCATCTTGTCCAGTATGAGCACCTCTGTGCCTCAGAACTTCATAGTCTAACTCTAACATCAGAGTATGCAAATTCTTTATACTGTTTTCTATACATTTCTTCTAAGTGTTGACAAAGAGCTTCTTTAGATGCTGATAATTACCTTTATTCTAACTTGTAACCTTGCTGTGTGCTTCAGGTGTAATGTTATTGGGAGAAATTAGATGCTGCTCACTTGTATGGTTGAATATTTTTTGGTGTTGTTATGGTTTAAGGGTTATAAGCACAAATAAGTAGCACTAGCAATAGAGGTCAAACTCATGTGGCTTAAACTCAATCCTTGATTCTTGATTCTCCACTTTGTGCTGGCTAAAAACTTTGAGGATCAAGGCTCATGGCCAGCTTTGAGTTTTTCACAACTATCTGAGGATTTATGAAGGGCTTTCAGGGAATTTTTTTTCAAAAAAAAAAAAATCTTTTGTTTGTTCCTTAGCCTAGAAAATAGTAAATTATGCATTGACCTCAGGACCATGCTGATGATAATAATTGGAAAAAGAATTATTGTTACCAACTGATTTTTCAATCATCAACAACAAAAACATCTAATAACACCAAGTAGTTGTAGGTCAATTTATTTTTTCTTTCCACAGAAAGTGCTTGTAAAAGAGCTGGGAGCCAGTTGGCGTGATAAGCTCTCAGAGTTTGATATGACACCATTTGCTGCAGCATCCATTGGTCAGGTCCACAGAGGAGTACTTAAAGATGGGAGATCTGTAGCCATAAAGATTCAGGTATTCGATTCACTAGTTTTCATCGTAAAGCTCTGTGTGGTGGAACCAAGTGAAGTCTCACAGGCTAATGGTGTCACAATCATTATGTTTAGGCCTGATAGCGAGCTGCTGTTTGGAAAGTGAGCCTAACCTTGTCCTTCCCCGGAGGGAAAGAAAGACCATACTCAAGAGAGTGTGTGAAAATTACAGCCAGATTTTGTATCGACTGACAACCTAAAAAAATCTTCAGCAGAGTAGAGAAGAGAGATGTTTTAGACCAAAATCCAACAGGGAAGATTTTCTTTTAGCTCCAGAGTAATGAAGAGACTTGTATTGTATCTTGTTTTAAGATAAAGCAAGGACTTGTTGAGTTTTAGTTTTGAAGTGTGATTGTTGTTTGTTTCTTATCAGTATCCTGGTGTTGGTGAGAGCATTGATAGTGATATTAATAATTTGATGACCATGTTGAAAGTTGGCAATCTTTTACCAGAAGGTAAGCCACATTAACACTTTATGCCTGAGAATGACCAGCATGTAGTTTCTAAGCCTACATGTAGCTGCACCCTCCCCCCCCCACCCAACAAAGGATAAACGGAGCAAGGGAGCTCTATTTCTCCTTTGTTGGGGAGAGGGTGCGGCTACACGTAGGCTATTAGTTTCTCCTTACAATGACATCCCTGAATCAAATATTAAGAATAAAGGTCCAAGCTTTTGATCGATGAACAAGTTCTCCTGGCCAGGACCCTAGGAAATGTATAGAGAACAGTATAGAGAATATGCATTCTGATTTTAGGGTGAGAAGGTTTAATTCAGGAACAAAGTCTATCATCCTTTCTACCGAGACAAAAAGGATTTACTGGAGGATCACTTTCATCAAGCACTTTAAATCAGTTCTGGTGATTGATTCCTAAATCCAGTGCAGTCCATACCTCACAAGCTTGTCTGTACTGGCCAAAATCTTAAGTCATCCCCTAGCTTTTGTTAAGTTAAAAAAAATTAAGTCATGCACACCTGATTTCTGCTCAATTTTTGGGGGCTTTTCCACAATGCACCAGGGTTGTATGCAGAAAATGCCATTGATGTCGCCCGACGGGAGATGGCATGGGAGGTGGATTACCTCAGAGAGGCCAAACATTCACGGCAGTTTAGGTAGGTCTAAAGCCCCCTCTATATTATCTACCTGTTTGAACTTCTGCCATTCCAGTGCTGCCTTAGATTATTGCTCATCATGTGATCTTTCCATTAAGGGAGTTGTTGAAGAATATGCCAGAATTCTATGTACCTGAGGTTATTGAAGATCTCACGTCCAAACAAGTGCTGACTACAGAGCTGATAGATGGAACATCACTAGACAAAATTGAAAATGTGAACCAAGACACCATTGATAAGGTACTGCTGGCTATTGAAGAAAAGTAGCTGCCATGGTGCCTCACAAAAGCTAAGGTTGCCATGCTTGTTTTGGGTAAAAAGTTCAAATTAGCAGACCTGTAAGGGGTTTCGTTATTGTTTTCATCTGGAGGGCAATTGATTTCCATAGGAGGGCAAAACATTTTGAACTGAGCTTCTTTATCAGATAAACTTTCCTCTAAATGGTCAAAACAGGTTGGCAAAACCTCCCTCACAGCCAGTCAATTTGCCCAGTGCCCAGGCCCCTTAATGAAACCCCTGACCAGTAGGTGATTTAGATGCCTGTTTCACCAGATAAGAAATAGGGATGAATGTTCCCACACAAAACGTGAGACATGGTGGGTCACTTTGAGATAAACATGGAAATTGTTCCAATTATGTTGTAGACCATCCACCTCATCTTGCTTTGTTGTTGTTTTCAGGTGTGCCTGGATATCCTCAGACTCTGTCTAAAAGAGTTGTTTGAGTTCAGATTTATGCAGACAGATCCTAACTGGTCAAATTTCTTCTACAACCCTACCACTGGACAGGTTTGTGGTACAAATTTGTAAACACAAATAGAAAGTACAAGACATGATAAAACCCAAGGCTACTTTTATGTGGTAACAGATGAGACCATCAAGATGTGACTTGGTTTTTTTCTGCTACACCCTTGAATAAGGTGAAAATTTGCAGCTATATTCTGTTCAAAGAAAAGTTGAAGAGAAATAACAAAGTAAAACAATATGCAAGTTATTTGTAGACAATCTGTTATTTTGTGCTACATTTTGTGAGCCATGAAATCTTTACACTGTGAGTAAACAACTTGATCAGTGAGATCAGCTACAACTTGATAAAGGGGGGCACTGATTGATAAACGTTCATTTTCATTTCTCTTAATTGTTTTGTGACAGATCTGGCTTCTTGATTTTGGTGCATCTCGGACCTATGGCAAGAAATTTGTAGATAAGTATATTAAGGTAAGGGTATGCTGTTTTTAATTCTCTTTGCACCTACAGTGTGTGCCTTGCCCCTTTGTTCCTCCACTCTCACACACAGACAGGTAGAATGGGTTGCAGCAATTACAGCGATTCCCTTCCCCCCCCCCCCCCATTTTCCTTTATCATCAAAATCAGACATTTTAAATATTTTTTTTGGCTAAAAATCTCAGAATCTCAGCAATAACATTGGATAAAGGAAATGAACCAAAAGATATCAACATTTTTCTGTGTTTGAACACGGTGCTATTCGAAGTAAGGTACTCGCTCTGTGATTTCAGAATATTCAGTCAGTGATGTCTTTGCCGTTCTGACGAGCCCATAATTGCTCACTTTCCGTCTTATACCCTCATCGCCTCGCTCAGAAATCATTGATTCAGATTACTTTCCAATACGTCTTTGTGAACTGTTCATTCCCAGAATTGATCTCCTCCCCACTGTGCCAAATGAAGCCTCCAATGATCTGAAAACCAGTTGTTGTGCCATCTTTAAACACATCTTTGAAAGCCATACTTGCCTATCTTTTCTCTTCAAGATAATCCGAGGCGCAGCCATTGGAGACCGAGACATGGTGATTGACAACTCTATCGGTCTTGGATTTCTTACTGGATACGAGTCTAAGGTAACTAATCAAAATATATTTCTAGATATCATTCCTAGGATCATTTCGGCTCCTTTTTAACGGTATGGTCAACGAGTCATTTCTTGGTGACCGAACTATGGGCAAGAAGCCGAAATGTTCCTGGGCTCGAGATTGCCTCCTTAAGATATCAAGAAACGGTCGTTTCTCAAATGAATACTCCAAAATCAGGTTTCCGAGTAAGGACTTAACTGAATAAGTTATATTATCGGTAATTAATGTCCCGATCTTTGTCCTCATCTTAAATCTTGACTTAAGTATCTGATCCATAATACTTCATGACAACTGAGCCTGAACGAGAATAATTCGGAAATAAAGCGGAATTAATGGTTTCAAGTCATAACTCGAAAATCTGGTTTTGGAGAATCCACATAAGCGACGACCATGAAGAATCTCATTCTTAACCGCTGTGTAATTGTATTTGTTACCTTTGATGAAAATTGTTTGCATTTTATTTTATGGTTTTGTTGTTGTTCTCCTTATGGTACAGGTGATGATCAACGCACACGCAGACGCAGTGATGATCCTTGGAGAGCCATTTTCCAAGAACGAACCGTTCAATTTTCAGGCCCAGGACACTACCAGTCGCATTAAGAAACTGATACCGGTCATGCTGCGTCATCGCCTGTCTCCACCCCCAGAGGAAACGTACTCACTCCATCGGAAGATGTCGGGCTCGTTTTTACTGTGTGCCAAACTTGGTGCCTCTATCAACTGCAAACCGCTTTTTGACGAGGTGTGGGAAAAGTATAAGTTTGATTAAATGGGACTCTACTTAAGCATGCGTATCGTGATTGTTCGTTAAGTCACCATATTGAGGAAAATTGAGCTGCGAGCCTCCTGTCGAAACACGACAAGCCAGGTTCACCCCTTTTGGACGGGAGGAGTCAAGGGTCCTTGGGTGAGCGTAAGAAGACGAGTCATCCTCGGGAATTTCCAAGGAAGAGTGACTGAGAAGCGGAGAAAATATTCTTGGGTAGTTTCGATTGCTCTCTTGTCTTATCTTTCCCTTTTCTCAAAAATTTCAACCGAGGAAAGAGCAGATTTAAATTTTTTCCTGGGAGTTAACAAGAAAGACTCTACTTTCTATACCAGACCCAGTCTCCGTGATTCGCGGCCAATCGTGTTGAAGGTGGACTATTTGAGAATTTTAACAAAAACGAAATGTTATTTTGTTCAAGATGAAAATACGGTTTTTGATTAAAGGAATTCCTTCTTACTTGGAAAGTGGTAGTGTTTCTCTCTCTCTCTCTCTCCCTCGATGACATCACTGAGTACTGATGTGAGTTGAAAAGTTGAAACATCTGAACTAATTTCTTTTAATCGGTGGTGGGGAGGGAGCTGGTTAAAAGAGATCGACAACGACCATGGATGCGAGATATGATTTTATTGACAAATTTTCCGGCACAAATCAGTCGAAATGAACCGTTGTTCACTTAATTTTCGCGACACTTCATTTCGCAAACTTTACAAACTTTAAAAATCACAACATAAAAGTGACTCGAACAGTATCTAATTTCTCCTTACAATGTGCCCCCCTGAATCACACACAATGTTCCCTCCTGAATCACACACAATGTCC